AAAAAATATCGCGCCCAAATGTTAATAGAATAATGAGTAAGGCCAGTCAATAATTTGAGGACTTAAAATTGGACAATCATGTACTAACAATTTTCCAATTGATGCACGTTCATTTTTTTTGTGGCATTAAAAAAATCCTCAGGGGGTGAACTATAAAAGGGTATAGTTCATAAAAAAACAAATGAACATGTAAAATGAGTATGGTACAAACATGTACTAATAATTTCAAATTCATTCATGTAATATTATTTTTTTTATGGCTTTTAAAATTTTGAAAGGGGGTGAACTATAAAAAGGGGGGTTAGTATTGAAAAAAAAAAGTTGTACATCCCAGTACTATCGAGGTACAACTGATTGCCACGTTTTTTTTTTTTTGCTTGAACTCCGATTCTGCACGATTTTGCCCCCCTGCTTCAGGGCTAAAGTAAGAGGGTACAAAAAAAAGTGCACAGGGTACATTCAAGTACTCAATGAGTACAATCCAAACCAACAAAAAAAAGTTAGATTTTTCAAACTTCGATGCCAACTTCACATAGCTCCATTGTCAGTATTTCGCACACGTGTGGATTCATCGGTTTTCCTATTGACCGCTCATTGTTTATAGATAAATTGTTTATCGCCAATGGTATAATTCCCGTGGAGCTAATTGTCCATTGCCGGATAATTAATTCCTTCAAGTTTTCATACTCCACTCAAAAATAATTATTCAATCATTTCAAATTGATTTTGTCAATTGAAATTAGATGAGTCATCTATTTTATTTCATTTACATCTCAATGCGTTTTTCATTGACTGAAACGAATTTATTTATTCCAGTGAATTGATTTATCAAATTCAGGAAAATTGGGGGTTTTGAAAAATTGAAATATACGACTATATCTGCTCGCTTTTGAGGTGAAGAGGAGAATAGGGCATGTGGAAGGGAATGAATGTGCAACCACAGGGTGTGTCATCTTTTTTGAGGGCACGTGCTACTGGCCATTGAAAGCCCAAAAATTTTCAGCTGGTGAAATTTGAACCGATGGATTGAAACCCCTAGGCTATCTCATGGAATATTGCAACAACTGCTGCATCCGAAGAACTACAACTGTCGGCGATTATCGTCAAAGGAAACCCCTCTCCTCCAATTTCCTTTCAAAAATTTCCAAATCAATGAACAAACGCATTTGAGATTGAAACAAGATGGTTTTTCAAAATTTTCGATGGACCATTGTTTTTCGAACGGGTCCCCCATCTGTTTTCATCGTGTTTTATTTTTTCTGGTCGCCCCAGTTGTGACAACGAGCCATTCCCCTCTGATATATAAACTAATAAAATTCCCTTGATGAAAAGAACTTAAAAGTTTTGAAGCCATTGGGTGTTCGCTCCCTCAAACATTTTCAATGCGAGATGTCACACTCGTTCACTGTAAAATTACACTCTAGGGCACATCCGAGTTATTTATGTGACTGCTCTGAAAATTATTCATTCAATCCGGCCTTTGACCCTCAAGATCAAAGCCTCAGAAATTATCATACGATTTTGATATAAAATTTTTATTCCTCCCTTTCATCGAGACACGCATTTCGCTACGTTCCCCAATTCGTATATTTTTTTCTCCCAGTGATTTCAATTGAATTCAATAATTTCAAGCCGTTAATAGCCGTGTCAACTTTCAGTCTTGATGTGCATTCGATAGTTTGAAAATTCCATGCGTGGATAATTCAACGACTACATTTGAATCGACAAGGGGAATGATTCACAGGAAAAAAATTTCCATGTTGAAACACTGAAACTGGCCATTTATATTTTTTTCTTTATTTTCGTAGAAAAACGTGGTACGAGTTACTGAAAGGTTTATACACACGTGGAGGCCACGTGTTCAAATTGAAGAACCCAAGAGGGATTTTAGACCTTTTGGGGCAATGGAAAACAACACAAAGGCTGTTTAAAATTTTCGGTTCATGAGGCCAACACACGCTTTCTGTTTAGCATTACATCACACTGGGCTATTCTATTCTCAAAAGAACTCCATGAAAGAACAATTATCCCTTTATCCCAAACAAGAATATTCGTCTAATTCCAAATAATTCCCGAATATTTTTAGTCCCTGAATTTTCAAACTGAATTACACGAGAAAAATTTCATTTTTTTTTCATTTTCTTAATTTCTTTTAATTCACGAATTAACAAGTATCTTCTTGGTTCAGAGGTATTTAAAATTGCAACATAAACAGCTACTCCCAGAATCTCCGGAGTCAACAATAAAATTCCTCCCCTCTCCCCTCAAAGAAGAAAAAGAAAAAAAAACATGATACTATACATGGAGATTAAATTTATAGATACAGCTCGTGTGACTTCATTTTCACGTGTTTCCCTAGTGAATAATTATGCAACACGAAGATAACAATTATTGACCGAAATATAATCAGCAACACGTGTTACTCATTCATTAATCTCCTTCAAGAGGGACGAAAAAATTACACCTTTGAATAATGGGAAAACCCACGCCCACTTGGAATAACAAATTATATTTAGGAGAAAAAAATTGATAAAATAAAAAAGGCTAGAAAATTACTTTCACGCGTGAAGTGGAAATACTCGAGGAAACAATAGAATGGAGTTGAGCAATTGCTGGGAAACGGTATTACAGATGTGGTAATTGTCCATGTACTAGCCCCACAATAAAATAAAATGATATATAAAAAAAAGTGATCAATTTTCTCCTAAACTTTCCAAATTCGCATGGAACTCAGCGAAAACTAACAGCTTCTCATGATGAGAAACGAATTATCAGGGCAATTATAAATCATTAATCAATCGGAAATAATTGTATTGGTGCATTGACCCCGTTGAATCATCCTCTACCCACTAGCAATCGTTAGGCATCATTTATCTATCGAATTTTCTTGTTACTCTATTTTTAACCAATTTTATGCGCATGATACGTATTTTTCATTATTTAACTGATAATCCCAGTGGATTGGAAGAATAGTCTACCACTGACACACGTTGTACTCAACTCGTCACTTAATGCTTTCCATGGAGAATAAAAAAAAATGTTTGCCGACTAATTGTCGACAACGTCGCAAAACTCTTTGACTGTTTTATTCACGGGTCAAGAATGGAGCATTCATTCACCCTCAGGCTAACATTCGCTGATACGACAAAACCCGATGTTCCCTCGTTATTTGATCCATTAATAGTAAACATAACAGTGGAAAATTTCACCGTTAATTCACGATCCCGTCAATTAAATCACAAACCAATTCCACTTATTTTAATTATAAAACAATATCGATTGCACCAGCGAACATCATTAACACGTCCCTATTCAAACAGAATTTATTTCGAAATATATCCATTTCAGAGGAAATTGTTGGGAAACTTTTTTCTAGCTAATTGAATTTCCGAGAAAAACGGTCTCTTGATATTTACTCCTTGAAACAATATTTATTGGATAAATTAATGGTTTAGAAGAATGAGGGAGACTTCGTGGCTCTTGGAATTGATAGGAAATGTTTTCAATTTTCACTCAATGAATCGATCGGAAATAATTGTTCCCCTAAAATCGTAGATAACGTGTTATCGAGCTCGACTTATTTTTACCGGAGACAACCTCTAGGCATATGAAAACTGTTGATTGAACACGGATGACGTGTAATTCGAAGAATACTGTCATTGAATTTGTACATAAGAATGGAAAAATTTTAATGACTCAATAGACTCATCAAGAAGCTGAAGTTCTCATGAAATTCTTTACCTCATACTAATCGAATCCAGTATTAAAATTCCCCTATTGATTATTTTTTCAATGTCATGAAAAATACGAGAACCTTGAACAACTCCAACAATTTAAAATGTATTTTAAAAATGCAGTGAATTCCGCCGTTGGTTTATATAATTTATTTCCACCTATTCCCGCAATCAAATCAAGAATCTCTCGACATGGCAAGAAAAACTGATTAATTCCCATCTACAAAGTGTACAAAAACTCGTTTAAGCAATTAAAACCTCTTTTTTTTCCGATATATCTTCCGGCATGAATGATATCACTCCAGCATTGAACTAAACCGGGAAACCTCTCATAATTTTTCATTCCCTACACCATTCAACATCAGAAAATTCAGAGATGATGTCAAGGCTTCCAGTGGCTGAATCATCCATATCCACAATGAAATTAAACCAACATCTGCGTTTCCAGAAAAAAAAAACTTCTGAAAAAGCCACATGTGACAGCGCCACCACAAGCATTGACTTATCTCAAGTGGAAGCCATCAAAATTATTTAATGGACTCGACTAAATGAAATGAATCTTTGAATGAAATGCATCGCTCCATGATGACAACAATAAAATGATCGCCGATGAAAAATTATGTACAGAATCCCCAGGGACAATGGAATGATCACAATTCACTCCCTCACTTGAAAATCGATCCCTGAATATTCCGTAACATTCGACAAGGAAATAATCCCTTACTCATAAGTACTTAAATATTCTACTCACCTTCGTTACCACCGGAATCACGAGTCCCCGGTGACGTTCAACCTGTCACCGCTGTGCACGTGACTCATCCAAAAAATAAAAAGGCTCCAGTGAGTGTAGAAAATGCGCGATAAAATCACTGCACACACCTCCAGATAAAGCCCCAAAAATCACAAACACCACCACAATTTCACAGTAAAAAAACGGAAGTGGAGTTCCCCACCTTCCCACGATTACACTTCCATACAATCACTCGAGAATGTGAAAAACCGCACGTACGTTTACCGAAACGAAACAAAAAAAAAAAAAGAAAAGACGAGTGACAGACGAGATAATACGGGTGCGAGCGTCAGTTTTTTTTATTCACTGATAAAAGAATAGATAAATCGAGAGTGAGTTTGAAATTCTTGACTCTACAGTAGGCCCATGACATTTGCTCCCGTCACGTTGGAATTAGTAAAGACGTATATATTTTGAGGCTCGATCGAGGGAATTATCCGTTGGTAAACACCGGTTATCGATTATTGGGCGGGTAAATGTAAACACTCAAGTAACCGGGGTGCGAAAAGTTTATTATTCTTTTGGATTATTCGGTTGGGACTCGGTGACGCGACTTGAAGGCGCGACGGACGAAGCAACACTGAGACTTAGAGGGGGAATAATATAAAGTGCCGGGTGCGAGCGCGCGCACGTTGCATTTGTATTGGGTACGCAGCGGTGGCGCGGCAAAACCTCGAGAGTTGTATTGGATTTTTTCGGGTGGGGAGTGGCCAGTTGTTGCGGAATTTATCGAGGTGGGGGTATTTCTCGATGGGCAATTGTTTTGGTGTGAGGAGTATATAATGGAATACCTCCGTCCAGGGATTACTCGCAGGCTACCTACCGCATGTCTTATACATTTACTACATATATATTATCTTGTTTATTTTCATACACAAATTATTATAATTATTATTTCATATTTCACAATAATGACAGAATTAGGTTGATTTGGGGAAAATTTTATTGTCAAGATCTACTCACCATGTCATTTTTATGGTGTTATCAGGGGCGATTAGGTTTCGTGGTGGAATGATGGGGTTTATCTCATCTTTTTAAAGACTTTAAACTAGAGTTGAAATTGTTTTTCACACGGTAGAAACGGTTTCTCTAATTGAAACGGATTCGTATGAAGATAAGAGGAATATGTTGAAACGAAAATATTATTTACGAATGGAGTAACATTTTCTCGTGTTATCTAATTTCATTAATTTTATCAGTCATCACTTTAAAGTTCAGACATAAATGCGGAGTGTAAAACAAATTTCTTGGGAGAAATACTGACGGAGGAAAAATGCCGAATAAAACGTTATTCAATCGGGGCGAAGATTAATATCAATTCATATATATTCATTACCATGTGAATTGCAACTGGACTACGTCATGCATGTATTATACATCTGCACGTATTGAGATGAAAAAAAATTGCTTCCTTAATCTGGTAAGTACATGAGTTGATGGCAGTGCGGTTGCAACTATGAAACTAACAACTCGACAAACCGATAGAACTACCCACATGCTTCGTGGCTAGAACACAAACAGTCATGAGGCAGATGGAAATCGTCGGATATTGCATACGATTTTCAATATCAATGCACCTTCCACTGAAAATCCCAATGATTAATTTTCCCCCCAATAAAAAGGATGGATTAAAATCGAATACACTATTTCCATAAATTATAAAATTTGTAATTATGAATTATTATAGTCTCTAATAATGACCGAAGTTTGTGTGTGACAGAGGGACTTAGCGGTTCAGTGAACGCTGTAATTCTGATTTGACACTAAGACTGATACGACATACAGCAAATGCCCGCATGCCTTTCCATTAATCTCAATTATACCCGTAGCAATTAAAAAGGGCCCTCCAGTCTGGATCAGAAGAAAGTCTTACCTTTGTCGTTTATCTGAACCGCAGCCTCAAAAACCCATCAAGTATTTTTCATGCTGGATTTTAATTAATTCTCCAATGAATTATTGACCAGTTTTTTTTTTTTTTAGAAATCCACCAGGAGACCAGTGGATATGACATTTTATGACGTCTCAGTTGCACAATAGGAAACAAGAGGAATGATAAAAAAAAAATCTTGAGAATAATTACAAGTGTTTTATTTTTACGCTCATGATCTTGTGAGTGGACATAATTGTGTTGATGCATGGGAAGCTGACCCCTGATGAACGAACCCAGTGTGTGAACGAGATAAACGAGAAACTCTGAAATACAGAATTCATTATTCTACCAGTGACAGAGTAACCGATGTTATAAAAATTCTCTACGTGTTGGTAAGCGACGGATTACATTTTTCTCGTGTCCACTTGGGATCATTATCTTAGGTCTACTTCTCTCGTAACCGTTTGAGCACACGCAGCAGTAATTACAAGGTCTCAACAGTATTTCCATTATTACAAGAACAACAGCAATTATTTATAATTTCTCCGTTAGAATTTTTTCAGATGGATTTGACTCTCATTTCCCCCCCATGTCCCTGGCAATCTCGATAATTGATAATAATTAGAAAGTACCAATTCATTTTCATGAGGGATTAATTGCTGATCTACTGTATCTCAAGGATAATTGACGTTCTCTCGAATTATTTCCACACGTCGTTCGTATTGAGACAAAAACGGTGATAGGAACACGAATAACGACTGGATTTCTATTTCAAATTAAATATTAATCTGTCATGCTCGAGGTATTGAATATCAATTGATTTATGGCAAAGTATAATGTGTTCGAAGTTTTCGGAGATATTGTACTGACAGGAAAAAAATCTTAACATGCATAAAATAATACAAATACAATCGTAATTTATCTCACCTCTCTTGATAATCCTGCGTTGAAGTTGACGTCATGATATCTCTTACCCCAACGTTGTGTTTGCTGACATCGAGATAAATTCCTAGTTCAACCTCGACCAGAATGTCCCGGTGTGAATCAATTCGAAAAATAAATTCAAAATCTTATTGTCAATTTCACAATTTAACGATTGTCGAGGTGTATTATACCAGCAGAAGCGATATTTCCTTCAGCTATTGCTTGTTGAATGTTCCCCCTACCCGTAACCATCCGTGAATGTGTGGAGGTACAAATCCATTGATAAAATAACCATTCACTGAGCGTTACTCGTTCTTACTTCATTGGAAAGACATGTCACGCTCGGATGTGATTGTAAAAAGTGGAATAACCAATGGACGATACTGGTAATGCAACAGACCGGATGAATTTGATGAAATCCTGTGGGATAATGAAAACGCCAACCGACGTGCACTGGGAATGCAATTATTTTTTCTTCTGCACACTTTAAAAATCATCCCAGCGACTCATTATAAACTTTTTACTGCTCTAGGGTGAATTAAATGGCAAATATTTTTGAGGTGAATATCCAGCGATTTTTCAGGTAAAAATATACCACTCGGGGAAGCGAAAATAATCCGGAGAAAACCGCTCCCAAGTACAAAATAAATCAGCTATTTTCCTGGAGTTTCTCAGCCATCCAGGAAGTGTGTTCAGTTGAACACACGTGCAGTACATATCGCTGTGCAACGGAACTTCTGTAAAATGTGTAATTATTTCCAACCGATGGCCATATTATTCCCCTAACGCAGGAACAAAGCTCGCACTTCTAAAGAGAGTCTTCCAAGTACTAGTGCATTCGTTGAAATTTACTTTTAACTTTCAATACGAATCGATATAATCCACCACCTGTTGATTTATTTACTGATTATTCTCAGGTTATCACACGAAATAAAAAAATCATTTTACGATCTGTACAACCCTCACACGTTTGCGCAGATTAAGAGAGCACTGGCTTTGTCTCCGCAGAGGAAATAAACATGTTTCCACATCGTGATTATAAATAAGATACCGTAACAGACGTCGCGACATATTACGATGCTTATCCATGGCATTTTATCAGAGTAATCAAAAGAGCCGCAACGTGTAATACTCGGTGTGCACTGGGTTTTCTCATTCCGACAGATGCCAACCGATAGCTCAATATTGCATAATGTACGCGAGATAAACAATTAATCAAACATCATCAATTTGTCGATTAAAGGAAATTCCATTCAATTCGGTTTTGTGGGTTCATTGATTTTTCCATTAATTTGTCTGCCCCATTACGTTTCAATTATGACCAATTACTTCCTCTCGTTCATCCAAAATAAATGTCGTATATATAAGGGGCTAGTGTGTATTTTCCTCCGGGCAACGAATATTGTTTAATATCTCATTTTTTTGGTTTATTACTCTCTCAATATTTGGGTATGATTCGTGAATTTAATAGGTACTTACCCCACGTACTCCACATTTAAAAATTCTAAATAAATGAATTTAGTAACAGCAATGGATCGAGATATTTAATCAGGAAATATTTGCAGTGTAACGAGTAAATCCACTTGCCTAATGAAAGTGCCATGGAGTACTTCCGCTTCTTCAATTGCGATCTGTGCGATTTCAATTTCTCAAAACCTTCATTTTTCTCTCAACTATTTTTCCAGTACTCTTCGATAATTCTTAAATTTTATGATTACTTGCCCCCACATTATCTAACATTGAGTATTTATTTCAGATTTATTATTTCTTTGCATCACAAATTACTACAAATATTATATATTAAAAAAAAAATTACTTTCTCTATTTAAACCTAAAACTTAGCAAAGGAGTAGTTCATGATCTGAGACTAGTTTTTTTTGAATGAACACAGAATTCTATTTCCGTAAATATAGTGAAACGATCACGAGACTAAAAGGTGTCACAATGGAAATGTCTCCTGTTGCTTCACCCCAGGAAACTTTTCAATTAGCCCTGAACTTCAAAGAAGTTGAGCCTGAAACCTTCGCCAAACTCAGAAACACCACTGAAGCTACTGCAGACGAATCCTTCTTTTCAAAAATTTTTCGAAAGGAATACACATATCCATACGTTGCAGTTTTGACTGTAACAACAACAATTATTCCTTTAGTCTTACATAATTCAAAGAATTATCTACTTCAACTTTTGATAATTACGTTTTTCGCAGTTTTCATAATCTACACATTGTATACATATATGTTCTGATGATTTTTTATTCCGAATATCCACAAATTTCCACTATGATATTATATAATATAGTGGAATAATTACAATTTACACCCCAAAACACTAATTTCGAAATGAAAAACGGTTCACAACTAAGAAATGCAAACGATAACTCCGATAAGGGCCCATTACAGCGACCCTCATCTACTGACGACAACGTCATGCCCGGCTTTTCCATATGGTCTTCAGAAGAAGACGAGGATTTACAAACTCCTCAAAAGGGAGAAACACACATGCACATTGGTTCACATAAGAAGGCTTCATCTTCTCCCTCAAGCGCCAGGGACCTAATTTCTAAGAAAGGTCAGTTATCTTATAATAAGCTAAAAGATAATATTAAAAAGTTAAAAGGGACCCATCTTAAAGGGCACTACGTCTACCTAATCCTTGGAATACTAGCTCTGATAGTCACAGCCATTGTCATTTGTCTGCAAACCAATGTGAAAATTGGCACAAAAATACTGGGCGTCAGTTTGCTCGCATTCAACATGGTCATTATAATAGTAAAGTTCAAGTAGCTTCATCCATGAACAGTAGAAACTGAGGGACAGAAAGAAAGCACAATTTTTATTTTTTAATTATTGTCTCTGATTGTAATTTCAGTTTTATTTTATTCAGTTTTATTTATTTCGTCATTGGTCGTATGCTAGCAATATTCAATAAGCTTCATCCATGAACCGTAGAAACTGAGGGGCAGAAAGAAAGCACAATTTTTATTTTTTCATTATTGTCTCTGATTGTAATTTCAGTCTTATTTTATTGGTTAATATAGTGGAACAATCAGGAATATTAAATCGGTGATTAGATCTATGACGTCTGACAAAGAAAACAATGCCACGAATCAGCGTAGCGGCTATTCTAAGTATTTCTCGCAATTTCATGACCTACTACAAAAGAAGTACGTTTATCCAATATGTATAACGGTAATCGAAGCGATTTTACTATTTATGATTGTGAAAGAAGCTACTATACGTGCTATGATGAAATTTGTGATGTCTGTAATGTGTGTACTTGTCGTTGTGTGTACAGCCGTTGTGCACTTTCCCCGCAAGAAAGAGTGAAAAAGATAGAGAATAATATTTTTAATGGAATTGTATATATATAACATTTTTTGTCCAGAGGAAATTCAAAGTTTTCGAACAGATGGGGGCAGTCCTTCACCTTGATATCTTCATTATATCCATTCTGATTTTTATTGGCATTGAGTTTTGCAAACCGTCGTTTCTGGTGGTTCGATAGGGCAGGATCAGAGAACAAGGTTGAATATAACTCGTTTTCAAAAGGAGTGGATCGAATACAGTCACCCCTGGATGGATGAATATATGTAAATCAATGACACGCTTCTTCGAGGTGAAAAAAAAATGGAAAAGCAGAAAGAATAGCATTCTTAACACATATGTGGTACATATAAAAATTCACAACCGGACCAGTCAAGGCTACCTAGTTTCTTCGTGATGATGCCTTTTTAGTAGACAAGTAGTATTGATATTTATACTTTCGTGCAATTCCCTCTGTAATTACAGCAATTAATGCTAACAGGATTCATTAAAAATATTGATTGAAACTTGAGTGAAATTCTGAGTTCATTTTTGTGATGGCATTACGATTACATTCTGGAGTAATGGAAAATGTTTAATTGATCTAATTTTAGATTTTTTTTTTCGTTTCTATCCGAATGACTGGGACTGAGAGTCAGAATGTAATTTGGAGATCGTTGAAAAACCACACGTATGTCATAAATATCATTTTATGCGCGCACAAATGAATATCTCGGTCTGACTCAGAAATTCCGTTGGTCGTGAGTGATACGGCATTATATCTTTTCTCCTAAACGTATTCTATGGATTAGTCTAAAGGATTTTGTATGGCAAAAGTAGATAGACAAACAATGAAATCCCGATAATTCTAAGAGATTAGGAAAATTCAAACAGCTAAAGAAAAATATCGCTTCATTCACACGAAGTGATTACTTGGAGATATTTTTGCGTCCAACAACTTTCATGACACCAGTAATTGTGCACAAAGTACCGGCTGTGCTTCAGTTACAAACTGCATGCCATCCAATTGAGTGAATTATTTTCAATGCGGATGTGCGGTAATTGTGAAAGCATCAAACTGACCACCGACTTCTTGTTTTCATGGTTTGCAATGAATTCCACACGCCGAGTGATCGTAACAGCAAATGCGGCCCTTTTCAGATTACAATCAAGTACTGAATCGTTAAATTAATTGAACAATTACTTCGTTCAGTGGGACGTCAATAGAAAACCCAGAGAACTATTAAGTCTGTTTTCCTCTTTAGAAAGTAATAGGACAATTCTGTCAAGCATCTTTCCCCTGCTATTTTATGCCTCTTGAATTCGAGAGGTGTATTTTTAAAAGTTATGATATTACCACTTTTATTCCCTCATGCGTATTTTAAAGCGCAATTTTATTTTTTACATCGCTCCCTGCAGGAGCAAATATAGCGATGCAGTCATGGGATTTTCACATGGCAATGTCTCAGCCAAAAAGGTTTTAAGTCGAATGAATTATTATTTTATTCTGCACACAATTGAATTTTAAATCCAAAACTTTATTTCAACAGGATATTTCAATTTTACATTGGCTACCGACAATGTTGGACGGCAAAATATCCTCAATATTTCGGAATAATTCGATAAAATTATCGATTAGATCTCTCGACTTAATGCATATAAAAAAATAATTAAAAAATATTTTTGATCAACTACACATACAGCGTCAATTTAAAACAGCTTTGCACTTTTAAACTGTAACGTGAACACCGAAATAACCAACTGTGGATGGATGGCTCTCCTGCAAGGCCATTTTCAGTCTTCAGTTATTTCAATCGGTACAGGAGTTTAAATATTATATGTATAAAACGTCTAGCAGGCAATTTGCAATAGTAAACCTAGGATAAAGATTCATTTGAAATTATTTTATGTTCAGGCACGTCTCTTTAGGGCCAGAGTAACTCGATATTCGGAGACTGCAGTTCTTCGAATACTTTGTAGACTGACAGAACGCATAACCAGCAGTAGAGCTATTAAAAAAAAAAATCAACGGATTAATTTATAAATAATGAGTGTGGGATATTAAAACCGGTTCAACTCACATTGTAGGCGCCCCACAGCCAGAGGATCAACGTAGGAACAACTACCTCAAGCTAAAATGAACTTTTAATTAGTATAATTCAGGGGGATTTGTGGGATTTATGGAATAGCTGTGAATCATACGTACGTAAATGTAATAACCTCCCAAGAGCCACAGACCGAAACAAAATTGGAATAGAAAGAGGAAAAACCAGAGAACGAGCCATGGCAACAGCCAGCCCCTGACACCAATGTTTATGCCATAAACCATTGACAGGGAAGAAATAATCATCCAGAGGAAGTAGAATATCAGGAATCCACCCACCCACTGCATCGCTGGATGAGAACATAAAATAAATAAACATATGCCTAGAAATTTCTCACGATTCTCATTGTTAGTGAAAACAGTATTGAAACGACAATATTTCTAGCAGGTAAAATTGACAACAATGTTTTTACAATAATTAACTCACATCCTCTAACATCTGCTTCAAAAAGGGGATTATAAAGTTGTGTAGAATCACCTCCGAGCATTTGATACGATATAAATATGATCATTACTGCACTGAGAGCCTGCAATTGATCCATAATTAGTTACAATCAATGTTCTAATTGTTTAGATGAAATTGTGGGACTTACTATTGTGTAAAATGCAATTGCTCTGCTGGCGGATTTAATGTTGTTTGTCCAAATGATGGGTGACCAACAGGATTGCAAAATCGTCATTTTCGCGGGGATTGGTCCTCTTTTATTTAAAAACAATCTTAGTTAATACACTGGAACAATTTATTTTAGTCTTGTAACCGCACCCACTTGCTGGTTGGTTTACTCATTGCCTCTATCAGACGTACCAACGGACTGCAATGAAATTCTGGATAGGAATTCTCCGGGGGCATTCACAATCCGCACGACTGCAACGACAGTCGACAACATGGAAATGATATCGTCGGTAAGTCCAGAGGATAACATTTAAAATTCATTCGACCATTTTTAAAAAACCCGTACAACTTTTTTTTTATCGCCATTTTTGCGGTGCAACTGAGATTGCGATGTGATATGATAAAAATGTTTATTTTATTTTATAATTCAAATTAATGAACAATCAATCCTTGAATTGTATATATAATTGTAACAATTGCCGAACAGTCATTAAGACAATAATATATAAAAACAATTAAAAAATTGAGAGTATTATTTTCACCTACCCCAATCAAAAATCACCGACGAAATTCCAATTTCAATGCGACATTCCATGTAAATACAGATAAGATAAACCAAACGTTTATTTACCTGCATTTTTAATGGATACGATAAACAAATACAAGTTTCTCAATTTATCATCCACGAGATACGGCAACATCAATGCATCCGATATCAATTGAATCCATCGAATTCATTAAAATCCACAATTCCGCAGATAAAAAATGACAAATATTCGATTAACGCCCAACAAAATGCAATTTAATTATTGATTGCAATAATAAAATGAGCGAACCACTCACTCACCCTGAGGATGCGGTACAATACCCCTTCGAATATAATCTCAAATAATAGTTCATTAATTTCTGAAAATTGAAAGATATCATTCGGTAATTTTCATGGGGTCTGGGGTTTAACCGATTGGATGATAATGCGGATAACGAATTATTCCGGATAATGCATTGATTGAGGATTGTGAGTGGATGAGCCGATGGAGGGACTGGGGTCCGCCATCAAGTCCACGTACATCCCAATGCAACACTGTGGCAACGTGGCTGCTCCTTTCCACCACCTCCCACCTCACCCCACCTACAATCCCACAATTTCTTCGGGGCCAGAGCAAGCTAAAGCAAGCTAAAGTCTCGTTATCTCACTCAGTCTCTCCCAGTGTCTTTAGTTGTTGCCTGTCTTCTCGTTTCTCCACTGTGGGTCGTCGTGCCATGGAACCGGTGTGTTTTAAACCGCGCGAGACACTCAGTCGGTCTCGAGTTGAGCGGCCTTGCAGTTCCGCACCGGTACCAATCAGTTAAATTAAAATTCCCCCATTTTTATTACCCTCCCTTCCTCATCTTCACCCCCACAATTCATTTTTCATTTGTGTGATTAAAAAAATTACACGAGTTGGTGATTTTACGCGGGTTGTGAATCACCTGTGAATGTCGTCCTGTGATTTTTGGTGGAATTGTTGGAGTTGTGGGTGTAATTTTTATTTTTTATCATTCCTCGGTGTTGTTGTTGTTGGAAGTTTAAATTGATGACATGGGATTTTGATTTTCGTCCGTGGGTTCGGGCGTTTTGAGTCGTTCAGGGATTCCTTTTCGAGTTTTCAGGGGCATCCGTTGGTATCGGGAATGATGACCGGGACAACGTGCATTCGAATGCGCACTGAGTGATGTGGGACTTTATTTGAGAGACTGAGGAGATTTGGACGGGGTCCAGGAGTCTGGTGAGGGTATGCGAAATTTTTCATTAATTTTCGTTCTATTTTTGTTCCTGGAATAATAAATCGATCACATATTTTTTATAAAAAATCGACATTTTTTATTTTTGACTGAACAAATTTGAAAAATCAAATGAAAAGTTGGATTTTCATATTTGAAAACTAGAGGATTTATAGAGTCGCGAATTTATTTTGATAATGCAATCATTTGTTGTAAATGCATTTAAATAATTTGCGATCGCTAAAAAATCATCGCAAAATAATGGAAATAATTCACATATTATCGATTGATTTTAAATTCAAATCGACTGATGGGATGAAAACGGGGGATATTTGGACATTGATTAGAGAAATTAATAAAAATTCTGAAATAGTCGAGTCCATTTTATACATGCACACATGACAAATTGAATTCTCTCCGATTGGACACTGCAACATTCTTGAACGTTTTGAGAAGTCTCTTCTTTACTTTTTATACACCAAGGAATTATATATATACGAATATGAGGAAAAAAAAGATTCTGCTGACCATGGCCGTAGATTACCGAAGATGTGCCCCGTTCACTCGTTTATTCTCCATTACCAAAGAAATTTAATAATTCAATGACGAAAAATTACGCATTTTCCAGAAATTTTCCATCTTTAGGCCCCAATTATTTCTTGGGGACTAGTCCATAGTAGAATTTATTCCGATGTCATCTTTGTGGAGAAATAGAAATTTAAATTCCGAAATTACGTGATCAGACGATAGTTTATTTTCAAGTTTAAATGTTAGCAATAATTTTTCAGTCTCGGTGGACTGGATTTTCAATGAATATTCATTGGGTATTCAATATCATACGCTCGTTACTTATCCAATTACCCCGGAGACTAATTATTTTAGACAGGGAGATGAAAAAAAAATCGAAAAATTGCGCGAGGTAATGCGAGACTTGTTCTGTGACTTCTCAATTTCTTTAATCTGCCAGCACTAGACACTTAAAAAATAATAAAAATATCAACCCTAAGAAAAAAAAGAAGCCAACTCAAATATCACCCCTAAAAATATCAATAAAATAATTCAGTAATTAATTCGTCTTGATTGATTGCCGCGTTTTTTTTTCGATATTTATTATGGATTGGAAATTCATTTATAAAATAATGAGTTGAATAAAAAATTAAGTTAAAAACGATTGAAAGCCGTTGCATTCCTTGACTCTGCGATTGGTAATTCAGACTCAACCGACGAAAAGGCGTGCGTGGTTGTAATAGGATGCGATTGTGCGTGTAACATTACGGTTTTACCCTCCAAGTAATTTCCATTCACCATAAGAAATACTTCAAAAGTCCAATCAACCCGAACTTCTCCGTTGAATTATTCTCAGACAACACCGAGAACTCCCCGATGCATTCCAATCATCTGATCTCCAAAAATGACAAATAAACAAATCCCCTAAAAATTCTCCAATGAATCCCCCGAATTTCACCAATTACAAAATAATTTAATTATTCAATAAAAAATAATCTTCACCTCTAAAAATCATAATTGTAATTATCTCGACATTATTTTGCAGGAATTTAATTAAATGTTGATAAAAATTGGATTATTTAATTGAATTGAGAAATTTGAGATTGGATTTTGCGAGTTTTTGGTGAGTGGTGGGTGAAAATAAATAATTTAATTATTCAATAAAAAATAATCTTCACCTCTAAAAATCATAATTGTAATTATCTCGCCATTATTTTGCAGGAATTTAATTAAATGTTGATAAAAATTGGATTATTTAATTGAATTGAGAAATTTGAGATTGGATTTTGCGAGTTTTTGGTGAGTGGTGGGTGAAAATAAATTGTATGCACTGGAGAGTAAGTAGATTGCACTATTCTCCAAGATGATCCTTGGTATAAATAGGTATCATCTTTGTCGTAGCAAACTGTACTCAATCTAATATACTCGGCCATTCTAAACTCAAACAATATTATGCCTCATTCTTCCACACATGAGTACCGCAGAGTATGCGCTATTTAGAAAATCTTTCTTCGGAACAGACTGCTGACTCTGCTATCCTCTTCGTCGGAGCTTTCACCAAAGTAGATTTAACTGCTAGTCGACACCAGAATTCTACACTTGGTGCACCGTAAAATATCTTATCCCCACTGGATCTGATAACAATTTAAATTAGATTCATCATCTCCAAAATGAGAATAAGAGAATTAAGTCAATCGACATTTTTTCACTCTACGTAAGGCCCCATAATCCATTCCTCCTCGTCATCCTGAATGATAATATTGTTTATCAATTAATGAGGACGCCATTTATATAACTATTTAATAATAAATATGAGAAAATCGCTTGAGACAATTTAGCAGATGGAAGCGATTAAAAATGATTGAGACAAATCTGTCGCTGCAGCCAAGGCCTTGCCTGTCATCGCCGTCACGATTTTAATGACAGCTAGTGAATATTTTGTTTGTTTTTATTTTTTTTAATCTCAAATTTTTCAAGTGTCAATTTTTTCAAAATGTCAAAAAATGAAAAATAACTTTTTCATTTCAAATTGATTTCTGTGGAAAAGGGATTAATTTTAATTTTAGGGTGAGTGAAGGATGAAGAATGCCCCGTATCAGCGGCGACGGGGGTGGAGGTGGTGCCAAAAACGAGAAAAGCAGTGGTCTAGGGGGTTGGTTTGGAGGTGCAGCTCGAGTCATGACAGGAAGTGGAGGAGGTGGATATGTCATCCTCGGGGGAACCAAATATGGCATTCGCCTGTCACAAGTGAGTTTATCCACAAAAAAAATTCAATCAATACAAATTGTTTAATCAACTCCTTATCCTCCAACTTATCGTTATAAACAAAAAAATTACAGATCACTTGTGGACTTGTAAAAATTCTTGAGGTGGAAAAAATCATCACTTCCGCGATACCTATCGCTGATTTTATTAATCAATCGCGTATTTTATTAATTGGATCATCGACGCGGAATAACAACAGAACATTTGATTTTTCAATATCAATATTTACGCGTGACTCGTGGAAGTCGATGAAGAACTGATAGAATTTTCTACACCGGAAGCTGATTCTTCCGTACAATTCGCTCGTACATGCGTCACACGTCTTCATTCATGCCGACGGTGAATTGACATTGCGATTCAATAACTTCCGAATTCTTACAAGCAGGAAAACGCTGCCGTTGTAGAATGACTAATAAATGCGCGGTGATGACCTTCTAACCGGAAGTTGATGATTTTTAGAACCAAGGAGCTGAAGAAGCTCGAGGATGTTGCTATAAAGTTAAAATTAGAATAGTTATAAACACTCTATGCATTGCATAATATATCCAGCACGTGACTTCATTATTAAAGTAACTCTCAAAATCTTCCACCGGTCACGGCAAATCAAAAACCGTTACTCCCATTAAAAAATAATCCCCCCGATATTTTTTATCGAATGAAAATTCCTCTATTACCAATCGATCATTTATTATTGCTCTCGCCGATAAAAAATTTTTTTTCCCTTGCGATGAAATATAAATATATAAATTAATTCACTGGGCATTATACATTAGGTTATATTTTTTATGTTATTGGAGGCCTAATAAATTATCAATAAATTATCAACATTTTTTACCGGAGAAAATGGAGGGTTTGAATGCGGAAACAATTACTGAGATTACGGTTTATGTCAGTGACGGTTGTCAGGCAGTAAAAGGTCTCCGATTGTGGTTCGATTTACTGAATTCAATAAATACAGTTTTCGACGGTTAAAATCACCGTTACGAGTTCAATTCGTCAAGACGTCGAGTTGGATAACACCTAGTATCACTTATTAATTTCAAGCAATCGACAATTTTTTGTTATCACAATTATCGGAGATTTGCGATATTGAAGTGAAATCAGATGATCGTCAATTAATTTAAATAAACCCATTATAATATTATATTCGTATTAATTTTTATTTCGTACATGCAAACAATTCTCGGTACAGTATATCTTCACGCGAATTCCATCTCGTGTGACTCGTGAATAATAATTCGAATCGTATTACAAATCAACGTGACATTATCAATCTCCACTCTTATCGCATGTCCCTCACACCTACAGAAGTGTTTAATGCAAATAATTTTATTCCGATAAAATCCACAATCCCCTGTATTTCGAAATACCGAACAATGAGATCAGCCATGTGACATTTTGCATTTGACAGTCGACTGGAAATCACAGACTGGCTTCTCTCAGTACGGAGATAAAAAGCCCCAAGTGAAAGCAACTATGTACCTCAATTGCGTAGTGTAGATTAAATTTCAATTCACCGATGACGCGCCCTAATGCTCGCACATGCAGATTTAATTGAATAATCTGGGGTTGACAGGAGAACAACCGATGAGAAATTATTCAATTCCCACAATTTAACTCCAAAATTTTCCAAACTATTGCGCAAAGTGTTGAAGATAAATAAGTGTCCACCATCTATTTTTTTCCTCAACAAGTTTCTCGGGGATTATTGTTTGGGGTCATACCTTCAATTTTTAAAATGAGGATTCCCCTGGAATTTATTTATTTCCAGGAGAGTATTCCACCGGAGACATCCCAAGAAGATCAAATGGAAAAAATCCATCGAAATCCTCGACAGAGTGACTCCCGAGAATGTCTAAACCCAGGAGAATCGAAGGAGAGGTGCCCAGAGAGATCATCAGACCTATCATCATCAATAACCGATTGCTGTTGCATCGGTCCTCGATCAAAACTCCCACTTCCCCGTATACCTCTGTCATCCTGCACCAGAATATCCAAGGGTGGCGATACAATTGGCATGGGCAACACTGCCAGCACCACTGGTGCAGATGTAACAAAAATTAGTGGTGAAGAAGAACGACAGTCTATTCAATCTCCCACTAGGTTTGAGTCGACTCGACTGCCGCCAAACTCAAATGCTAATAATAACTGCGGGGGGCTGCTAATGGGGAGCCACGGCACCCAGCCACAATCATCCACATCATCATCCACAACTCATACCAACAGCAGTAATACTATCACAACTACAGCTAACGCTGGCCTCGCTCCTTCTAGTTTCACTCCAATTGCTCACAACACTGTCTCTGTACCACGCCAAATTGCTCAGTGGACCAAACATCATACCCTCAAGTTACAGGTAATTTTTTTTCACCTACACCCCTTGCTGCCTCATTCCTGCAATTACTCGTCATTGCGATTTGTCAATCATCTTCGTTTTATTATTTAAAGTGTTACTGAATTTTTTAGATAGTCGTGAATTGCCGGATGTTTTCCCTCGAAATTTTTCCACAGCTATATTTTCTATTTTAGAATCGAAATGTGAAATCGAATGGTACTGGGTGTCGGATTAGTCTGAGATTTAAAGTGGAATGTATTTCTTTGAAAAATAGAAAAACGTCAGTGTAAAATCGTATCTTTCCATTTCGAAAGCTATACAGCGCATTAGATGTTTCTGTATATTTAAGTCAAGACCAAGTGATCGACTATTTTTGTCGTGGCGGTACGACGGGCATGTTTTCACAGTGGATACGCGGCTCTCGTCGGTTTCTGTCGTAGATATTCATCCATTGGTTGAAATACCGAGGCATCGTCCTCACAGTTCCCTCTGAAATACTTGCCCAACTCATCAGAGTATACAATTGCCATTTTTTTTTTTTCAATTGCAATTAGGAACCAGCAATAACAGCAGTGGACCGACTCCACAGATTTCGATGGAGCGGTGGCGGAGGCGGAGGTGCAGGAGGAAGAGGCAAAAAATCATCTTCTGGCCCCCGCAGCGAAAAAGCAGAGCGTCTCCGTGAACTCACGGAAAAATTACAAAAAGGTCCAGCCCCTGTGCCACCACCTAGAAGACCCTCCAGAATTCACACGTCATCACCACCACCTAGTGGTGCACACCAGGTGACTTTAACGGTTTTTTAAATAAATCATTCCATACCTGAATCGCTATCATTTAAAAAAAGAAGTTCCCCTTATCTCCTGGACCAGTTCATTACAAAGATAACGACTCAATTAATGAATATAATTACAACACGACATGCTCTATCACCTGATCACTTGTCATTATTATTTAATAAATGATTTATTAAAATTGTTCTTCAGCAATCGGCGAATTCAGATGTTCGTCCATCATCAGGACGAAGTTACACTTACAGCGAAGGAAGTACATCATCGAGTAACAACAGTGATAATCCGAAGAAATTTGTGCGAAGTGAAAGTGTTGGTGAAGAGTGTCATCACGAGCACGTGACGGATGACAGTAGAAATAGGCCCCAATCATCGCCGAATCATGATCATCATTATCATCCACCTAATCAGCATGGATTTTTATCGAGACGTACGTCGAGATCGAGTAATGATAGTGGTGTCAATAGGCACAGTGGTGATATCGAGCAAGTTAAACGATCAGCTGACAGACACAGCGAACCAAAACATTACAGACAGTGTAGTGATTCTTTGATAGATAGTAATAAGTGTGTGAGTGATATTGGAGAATTAACGGGGGGTAATGAGAGCGAAGCGAGAGATGCATTGTCGAGATTGGAACCCAGAGGACCACTCCTTGCTTTTCACAGAGGTGCACCCTGCAGAAGTGCATCATTTGGACAAGTGGATTTTAATCAAGGTGAGTCAAATAAAAATCATAATCAAGTGTCACTGTGAAAATTTTTTCTCCATCATGGAAAATGTCAGGGACAAGCCCTTAACGTACCATCATAGACAGTCAGCTGTGCAAAGATAAATAAAGGAGAAGAGGCCGAGTGCCCACAGAGAAAACCATCTTTCGTGTTGGAAATTCTCAACTTTAGTTAAGTTTCTACACCCAAGAAAAACGTGTCGTGTTGGAGAAGTCGATTGTCGAGTCAAGAATAAATAAATTGAACGTTTTGAGATGGAATTAAGTGATGAATGGGGAAGACATTGAAATATTTATGCAATTTTGATAGGAAATCGTCACAGAACTCAAACAATTTCTCCACCAAATGGAGATGAGTCGAGTGACGTGCGTGCAAGTACTTTACCAAGACGTCGTGGTAACACATCGAGTCCAACGGCTTCGTCCCCTCAGAAAAGTCCAGATAGACAGAGTCCTTGTGCCTCAACCCCGAGTGTAGACAGCGCGGTGGGATCAGCGGAAGGTCTCGGTGTTCATCAATCAAGAACACTCGAGGAGTTGCGACCCAGGAGCGATGGATCTGATAGTCTAGCGACATCGAGTGCTCTAACAAGTCCAGAACCACCGGTTCCATCAGACAATCACGACTTGAGGATAACAACTCAAGAATCTTCAGGTTCAGATCATGTCTTGATGGTGGAACAGCTGCATCAAGTGATGGGGAGTAATAACGGAGACGAAGTGGAGGCTAAAGGTAATTGATTGTAAATTATTAATTAATTTTGTAAGATTTCAGGGAAATGAATTTTCATTTTGATTCAGTTATAATAACACCACCGCCTGAAGAGCCTCGGTTGAGCCAAGCCAGTGAAACTAGTGAAGCTCTGAGTGAAACCCCATCAGGTGCCTCATCACCGTCGGGTAAAATCAGGCGCTGTCGGGGTGATACCAGCAAGAGGCGAAAAGGGGTGTATATAACTCAGTGGCCAGAGCCATCGGAGAATGAGAGGAATAAACTGGCTGCCCAGAGCAGCGAGGAAAAGGAAGATCAGCCAGCGACATTGAGCGATCTATCCGACTGCGAGGGCCACACACCACGACGGTATAACATATCAATGAAAATATATCAATAAACAAAATTATTTGGACTATTTGATAAATAATTTTCAAATGGTGCAGTTACAGCAAACGACCACTCCGTGGACCGTACGGTCAAATGCTCGAGGCAGAAATGGCTAAGCCACGATCAACAGATATTGCACTGGAGGATAATATTCGTCAGCGTCGAAAAATATCAGCCAATTTGTCGTACAGTCCTGGAGTTAACAGTAATTCTGAACCACCCACACCGTGTCATCACAGAACAACATCGAGTCCGAGTAAACTCGAGGGTCTACCTGGCCCAAGTCCAGAACTTCTAGCTGAATTACTTCGTGGATCGTCCGAACGAGTTTCACGATCACCTGCTCATCGAAATGTGAGTCTGCAATCAATTCGATTAATTTTCGGTTATTATTATTTTTTTTTTTCGTCTTTCAACATGAAAAATATTTGAACTCAACACTCTTGGTCTCGGGGTTGTTGTTTTTTTTTATTCAGGAAAAATATGAAATGTTACGCGGTAGATTGACGAGGGGTCAATCCATAAACTAGAGAAAGGCCTTCGAGAAATAATAATAAAATGCGAATGCGCGTGGCACGAGGGCTTCCAAACATAATCTAATAATATTTGGGCCATATTTCTTGGATGACTCTCGTAAGATCGGATGCTACCGGTTAGCAAGTGATGTCTCACGATTGCAAAGCCGCGACGATAATGTGTGTGGGATATTCCTGGCGTCGTTTCATTTGTATAAGTCTCTTGGAGGCCGTCGTTTTCTTCATTTTCCTCTTATTCTTAGGCCGATCTCTACTCTCGTATACACACAATTCTCCTGGTCACTTTTTTTCTTTTCCTTTTCTTTAAATACTTTAACGTTTTTGCGTAACGAGGGAGTATTACCTTGGGGATAACGATTATTTCGTCAGTGAAACTATTTGTGGATTTGTACCGATTGTTAATAGTGCATTATCTCGCTCGTCATTGCATTAACTATTTGTTCTAGTTATCAATTCATTATTAATGAACATTTTGTCGTTTGGTGTGGGTATGCCGTATTTTTATCCCGTTTTCTGAGGAAATTTCATTATAATATCCCATTTTTCTGGCGGTATAATCGATTATTTTTTGGAATATATAAACTGATGAGGTAAATACTCGATGTATGAATGAACCAGAAAATCTCTCGGGGGATTTGGGGTATTGACGTCATCACGCCATTCAGAGAAGTGAATGAAGTCAATTTCGGCGAGGGAGGAATCACTCGTGTATTTTTGGCCGATGAAATGTCAAATGTTAGATAAACAACAGTCACTATTTTATTATTGCAGATTTTTTCGTCGAGCTGGGATTTACCGAGTGTTAAATCATCGATAACGATAAATCATATTCACACATTTTTTTTTTAATCTTCGTTTTAAGTGGAGAATTATATAATCGCCAAACGGTGTGAACCCTCAAAAGATTAATGTCTCGTGTATCTCGACGTTTTCAACGTGACCAATACTCTCCATGTGCAGCCTTTCGGAAAATTACAGAGTAAATATAGTATCGATTCCTGATCTGCAAGCCCCTCATGAACTTGCGCCCTTCTGATACCGCTAGTTACTCGATTTCAATTAAATTTCTCATGGCGAGTGAATAATTTTCATTGAATTATCGATGAATTATAAAAAATTGAGGAATTTTCACTGAATTAATAGATCGAGGTGTGGAGTCATGAATTTTAATGGAATTCTTTATAAATCGTTAAGACTCGAGCACCGGAAACGTATATCAGGGGAAGCCGATGCATTTATCCGGTATCCGGATTGGCACAGGTGATAATTTCCGGTATCGCCCACCGGGTGCTATGAGAGAAAATTGCGAGGAGTCACACGCGCGATTATATTTAGAGTTCGGCCAACGCATTGAAACGCAACGTTCACCGTATGATCTCAACTCGCGAATATCGCGTGTGTATATTTCATCGGGTAATGGGCGTTGGTATAAGAAACTAAATAGAATGAATGAAATGCCTGCGCGATTTTCCAAGACCCCCGGAATTTATTTTCCTTGCGTTTTTACAGTGATTGCGTCATTTTGGGATTTATCGCGTAAATTTTCGGAGTTCAGTACAAAATTCAGAAATTATATTTTATTTTATTTGATTACAATCGGACAATTGTTAATTTATCAAGTAGATGCTGGCGCACAGGTTGAAAATTCTTCCCATTGAGTTGATTCGACATGATTATGTCATCTTGTCGTAATCTAGTGACAGATTATCCTCCGGTAGTTTTCTCTTGTCTCATTATTTGTGGTCACATGTCCTGGAAAAAATGTCAGGACAAATTGCAATGGTTGTTGAATAGCGGCAACCCCTTCATCCCCTGTAACTCACATGTTTCCGTAATGGGGTTGATCACGCAAAAATCCCCACGTGCTTCATCACCCTCGAGTGTCTTCAGCACGTGTAACACGTGTTGCGGTGTGACGTACAACCACCAGTCGAGAGCTCGATGGAGAGGTTCGTCGTGATATTCCCTCAGATTATCGTTGTTCTCCACCGTGAGTGGATTATTAATCTATCGCATCAATAATTTAACTAATGTACATCAGTCCTCGGATTATTCAATCATAAATCACTGCATCTGCCTCGGACGTTGGAATAAAATTCGGATAATGATTCTCGGGGTTTCTGATTGTGATGGAGTTTTTAGACAAATTCCAACACTTGGGAAAAAAGTTTTCAAGCGATTCATCTCGAATTTATCAGTGTCACACTCGAAAATGGAGAAACAGTGCGTTCGGGGATTTGCTGGGGATAATTGTAACAAGAAATCATCGAATGATAATGAGTTGATTGTTGAAAAGTTCTTCAGTCGAGTGAGCGAATCATTTATTCAGTTATCCCGGGTAAAAAAAAATATAATCGAAATATTTTTTTCAAATTTTCCAAAAATTTCTGGAAAACTTTTCAGAATTTTTTTTTGAAGCAAAAAAAAATCTGGAGACAAAACAATTGTATTTTTGGGAAATGTTTAGAAAAAAATTTCTAAAAAGTTTCCCAGAAATTTTTTTGAAAATCTGGAAAAAATATTCCGATTACAATTTTTTTTTTCCTGGGATATTATTTATTCGATGGTATATTATTTATGGCTTTGCATGGGGAATTCATTTTTATTTTCAATATTTATTCACTGGTTAATTTTTTAAGTGGAATTTGTGTCGGTACAAATTCCTTATCACCTCATTTTTTTAGGATACGAGGACACACGTTGTCGTGGAGCTCTACGATACCGAGAAATCTTATGTCGAAGCGTTACAGATACTAGTCAATGTGAGTAGATTATCTAAAAAAAAAATCGAATTTCAAAATAATATAAAAAAAAATGACTGAATAATTTCTTTAAACAGAAATATCTCCAGACATTGAAGAATTCTGAGAATTCTGGACTTGTCGATGCGGCGGTAGTAGATGAAATATTTTATCAGGTAATTAATATTACTGTAGTTACATAATTTAATTGTGATGCGGTGTTTCCATATTCTACCATTTTTTTAAACGAATTATGCCTTAGGTCCCTGCAATTCTCAGTCACCACGAAATATTCCTAGAAGAATTGAGAAAGCGTCTAGAAACCTGGGAACTTCGCCAGACAATCGGTGACGTCTTCCTCGACGTGGTGGGTCTTCACGAAAAAATTATTATTAATTATTATTAAGTCCAGTGTTAACGGAAAATTCTGCAGAAATTTTTATTTGATTTAATTTGTAATAATTCCGATAACATCTCCATCAGTTCACCAAACCTGTTGTCCTGGAGACATACACACTGTTCCTTGACAACTGGAAATCAGCGAAGAAAGCGATAAAAACGACATGCCAGACAAAGCCAGCATTCGCTCGATTTCTCGACACGATGGAACGAGAACACAAGGGAAAACTAGGACTTGATCAGCTACTGATCAAGCCAGTCCAGAAGATCCCGAGGTATGAACTCCTCATTCAGAGGCTTCTGAAGCATACGGACAAGAGCCATCCGGATTATGAGCTGCTGACAGCTGCCCAGAGAGAAGTCCACGAGCTAGTTGTCAAAATAAATTGCACAGAGAGAGAATCTCTCGAGTGGGAGCAACAGCAAACAACACTCAGAGAGGTCCAATCCTTGGTTGAAGGATTAGCTGGGATAGTTACCAATGATAGGTCCGTAATTACTTGAATGAGTAAAAATTATTAATGAATCATCATTTTAATTGATGAATTATTTTTCTCCAGAGCATTTGTACGACACGATTTGGTGACAATCGCTTCGAATCAGGGCACCAGAAAAGAAAGAGCATTATTTTTATTTTCGGATCTTCTTGTCATTACTAGTATTAAACGAAGAAGTGGAACCATTCGAAAACCGTCAACGTGAGTCACAGTAATCACTCCTAATTAATACCGTTAATGATCCTTATTAAACCTATCGACCTTTTATTTTTCAGAACATCGTGTCCGAATAGTTTAGTAGGTTTACTCGAAGCGAATAAATACAAACTTCTCATGAGAATTTCGCTCGATGATCTTGAAGTGATGAAAGGTAATTGATTAATGATTTATGAATAAATAGTGAAAAATATTTAATGTCGATCATATTTGATGAATATTTTCATTCAGCCAAAGATGAAAACCTAAGGAGAATGGCACGAGAGGTTGATCACTTGAGAGAAGACTGCGCTAGGTTATCACAACTTCAGGAACTCGCTGGTACTTTGCATGGATCGAAGCATCAGCTCGAGGATCTTATCAAAGAGTTGCTGAGCCAAACGCAACGTCAATTAGCCGAGAGAAATGCAGCGCATTCACAACTCGCATGTTTGGAATTAACTCTGAATACTCAGTGAGTATTTTCCACATCAGCCATTTAATTTCATTCAATTTGTATTTGTATTTGACAAATGAATACTAAAGTATTTCAAAAGAGAAAGAGTGAATGGATGGAAATTAAAATTCATCATGAATTTTTACTGGAATTTAAATAATTTACAGATCTGGAATTGAAAACATTTCAGTAATGTTTACAAAACCTGATAAACGTGCGAGTTGGGAGGAGAGCTTCAATGAGGCCAAACAGAAATTAGCATTTTCGGCTGATCGTAGACCTTGTCCAGAGTTCGTGGGACCTCTACCCATTCGAAAAACACGGGCTGGCCTACAGTTTACCTGTGCGGCGCCAACAATACTTAATGGCCAAGGTGTTCGTGATGTTTGGGTTTGCAATAGTGATGGATATGTTGGACAAGTGTGTGTACTCAGTTTAACACCAGAACCTCCTCAAGTTACGTCCTGCAATGGTGTTTGCAATGCCCGGATTTTGTGTGTCGCAGGAATACCCGCTGGATCTTCTAGGTGAGTTATATTAATTTATCTCCGGTGAATATTCAATTGCTGCAGAAATGTATTTGTACTTTCAAATTCCATTTCTCTAAAGTACTGATTCTCACCAGATACTGAATTATTATTTTTCACATTCTGGTTTCAGTTCGAATTCATGTACTTTGAGTAAAAAGAAATTCACTGTTAGTAAAAGTGGAATCAGTATTTCAATTCAAGATACTGATGTTAGCAGTGGAAACATCCAATTAGACAGGTAATTGAAAATAATTATTATAATGATTAGTTATAAAAATAAATAGTGACGGAATTTAATTTCAAAATTTTTGTAAATATTCTATTCCTGACGTTTGGTTTATTTTATAAACAAACACTTGCCGATATTCTTATCCCATTGGGATTGTGTAATGAAAAATTCATCTGAAATCCAATTGCATTTAGTCCCAGTCTATTTTATGTGTCATCATTATTTTTTGGTTTTGAAAAATTCATCCGACGGAAATGCACTGCAATTTTTTAATGGATTTTCTAGTAGTTCGAGTTCAGAGGATTCTGACTCAGATGATATTCCCTGCGCCGACACAGCCGGTGGTTCATTGTGTGGAGATGTATCGAGCATTGATGGAACCATCGAGGAAGACATGAATCAACCAACCATGTGGTTGGGCACCGAAGACGGTTGCATTCACGTTTATAATTGCAACGACAACATTCGCATTAAAAAAAATAAAGTGAAGATTCAACCCGGGAGCGGCGTCCACTGTATCATGTACGTAAAATTAAATGAATATCAAATAATAATAATTCAATAATTCAATAACCAGCACTATAACATAAAAGAATTAATAATAATAATGATGGAAATAATGACAGGTACGTCGAAGATAAAGTATTCGCTTCTCTGGCCAACGGTGACGTTGTGATTTATTCTCGTGATCACTGTAAGTTGTAATTCTGTATTAAATTATGTACTATCGACTGAAAATATCGACATGAATATCATTATGGTGAATACGTTAGGTGGTTGGAATACCCTGGAACCATTGACAGTATCAGTGGGAACGCCATCGTCACCTGTCACAAAAATGGTACCAGTGGCTGGTAAATTGTGGTGCAGTTGTCACAACATAGTGAAAGTTCTCAACATCTCGACATTAGAAATCGAGCACTCGATGAATGTCAGTGGCGATACAACACGACCAATTTCGTGTATGGCAACATCTGGTGGTGTTGGAGTGTGGATATCATTACACAATAGTGCTGTTCTCCGACTTTTTCACGCAACCACTTACGAGTGTCTCACCGACATCAATATCGCTCCAGCCGTTACTAAAATGCTCTCCAGTAAGTATCAAATCTAGAATTACAACACTCTCAGAAGACTCGTTAAAATAAAATTGAGTAATGATGGATTGTTTCAATTTCAACTGATGAACCGGTGATGAATGATCGTTATTACGTTAGAGCTTTATTTTAACGGAAGCATTAAATTTGTTGCAGGTTGCGATGATATAATTCGTCAGCATAAAGCTGCTTGTCTACGTGTCACTGCATTGCTTGCGTGTAATGATCTGTTGTGGATTGGTACAAGCGCTGGAGTTCTACTTACCGTTCCCATTCCACACATGAAACCATCGACGCAGAGATTATCACAGCCACCACTGGTTACGGGTGAGCTTAATAATCATTAAGGCTGATTATTTGCTATCAAATGAGCATGAAATGTTAATTATTTAATTATTGGTCTAGGTATTCCCCATGGTCACACGGGTCACGTTCGATTTCTCACGTGTGTGGAAATTCCGTCACCCTCAAAGCCCGATCCTCTTCCAAAAGTTAATCTGTACTCAATGAAGAATACTAAAACAAACCAGAATAATATGGAACGTACTAAACTTCTTGTAATATCCGGTGGTGATGGCTACGAGGATTTTCGTGGTCCGCAGGCATCTGCCGAACTTCAAGCGGGACGTGAGGATTCAACGAATCATTTGTTGCTCTGGAAAGTTTGACAACAGTTGAACGGCTCAAACGAGCCTGAGGAATATTGAGACCCGATTATATCACCGTCTGTGGACGTCTGATTGATTTGTCCGATCGACTCGGAGACGAGTATCGATCGACTGCTGCAAATACCGGTATGAAATTCAAAAGGCTCTTGTCGTTTTCAATGATTTTCCGACGCTCCATTATTGACGATCAAAACTCATTTTTACGTGAAAGTAACGAGTTGAGGTGAGAGCGTCATCGAAACCATTTGATCTTTTGAAGGACCGATAATATTTTCATTATTGAGAATATCTAATATATTTGATAAATAAATTCTACTGATGATTGATGAACAATTAGTCTAATCGATTGGGCAGGACGAAATTTTATTAACACGATAAATATGTGTATGAGATAATTGCTCTTATTTATTCAATGATCATTGAATTTTTGGGTTAAACTTCGATGTGAGTGAGTGAACGAACGTGAATACATCGATTTTTCATGATTAAGTGATTGATGGACGAAAGAGTTTTGCGGATGCTGCAAATAATTCAAGTGCTATTGCAATTGCAATTATCAGATCTTTCTAGATTTGAACTTTGTATGTTTCCAATGTTAAAATGTGCTGAATAAATCGTTATTCCAAGCACTTGTTTGTCTCATTGAATTTTTTATTTTTATTTCCATGTAACAAATTAAATGTAAGTGATATTTTTACATCAGTTTGCATGCGCTACGTATAAGTTACTATTCGCTTATATTTTCATGATTAGTGACTAGAGTATAACATTCAACGCGTATTGTATCGGCTAATGATATTTATATGACTTATTAAGGTTAACGAATCATCACAGTTAACAGGATTTTTTTCTCTTACATTTGTGTATTCATTAGTTCGAGAATATTCTCATTGGTTAATTTTTTTTGACAGTCTCAAATCGAGATTTATCCACGGAATGTGATGTGTTGAATTTACTGAATGTTAAAAACATTTCAATATTCAGTCTCGTTTTAACGTCAGAGACTTCGTGTCCGCTCACCGAAAAAATGGCCGCTGACGCTCACAAAATGGACAACTTCCAACCGTGCGACTCCGTGTTTTCAATTTCACTGCTAGACCCCGTCACAGCTCCTGAATATTAAATTCATTCATGAAGGTAGTCTTTTCTGATAATATTTTTTTTACTGGAATTTCAATTAAATTTTGGTGATTGGAAAAATTAGTACCTAGAGTAGATGGCACTTCCGTGATGGGTGTGGGGGGATCAGCATCGGTGGTCGTCATGGGCTCCGTTATGCCTAGAAAATTCAATTAATTCCGAATCTTCAAATTCAATTTTTTACGAGATACACTCAATTTTTTTTTATTCAAATATTTTTTATCACGAACACAGAAAAATTGAAGAATTCAATTATTCCCATGTCTCGGATTCTTATATTCTCAGTTCGACTCCACAACAGAATTGTTTACCCAATACTGTTCGGGCTTCTATAGAAAAATTTGATTGATTGAAACAACAACTTTATAAAATTAACAAACACTGCGGAATGCATGGGATAATCCCTGAAATATCGTCGATCAATCAAGCATTTATTTCTGGATTCACAAGGATCTGAAACTTTTCACAGACCTAGAGATAGATAATACCTTGATTTTTTAATTCTGTAGCTGCATGTGTTGCTGGAAAAAAAAATGTTATCGTTGTATTTTTAAGGTGAGCTCTTTGTGTCATTAATTTTTGTACTTGTCAATTAATTTCCAAAAAATCAATCGCAGAAAACAGAAAACAAAAGACCAGAAAATCGTACAACGATTTCAGCGATCGGCGCTCAATTGATCCTGCGGTAAATATCATATCCCAAGCTGGATAATTATTATTTATAAAATAACTGTAACTGATCCATAAATTGTCCAACCTTGATGAAGTGTTAAATCGTTAGTAAATGATTAATCATTCCTCATGCAACAATTTAAAAAATCCAAACCGTGAGTTAATGATGCTAGACATGAAACAACAGAAAAACAAATTTATTTATAAAATTAATAAATCCAGTAAATAAATTCAACTCACCCGTAAATGAACTCTCGCGACTTCTCTGAGGCCAGCAAAATTTGCAGATTGGCTTGAGCAATCGAAATCTAGGTCTAGGCATTCTGAGTAATACATAGATATAAGGATCCAGCGTAAAATGAATGCAGAGAAGAATATCCGCGACGATATGAAAAATTCTAATTAATTTCCTCGCAAGTACAGCAGACGCGGGTAATTTCAGCGATAACTGCGCCAACGGAATTCCAATCTGACAAATCAAATAAATAAAAATAAACTCTCATTTTGAAAATATTCATTAACTGGTACTTGATACCAAAGATTTTCCAGAGCCATTTGTTTTTCACATGCGTCACTCATTTTTAATTCATTGATCACATCCGTTCAAAGATTATTTAAGTCTCGTATTATTCGCCATTGAAAACAATAGCCACTAACGTGACTGTATTATCTAATGTAATCAAAATATCAACAGCGAATTAAAGCCGAAAATAATTAGTATAGTACAACGGAAGTGTTGATAAAGAATTTCAATGATTTATACATATCCCACGGTACAAATCGCAATGCAATAATTATTTATCGATTACCATTTGAGGCATCCAGCAGATGACGAATGATATAGACAGCACAGCCATGAGTTTAGCAAAGGCCCTTTCCTCGGCAGTCAAACCGATTTCAGTGGACGGTGTCTTGGCTGTTACTAATAAGGGTTTTGTTCGTGATGATGCTTTTGATGATCTCCTCAGTGCTCCAACTCGATTACCGAGTCTACGAAGAGCTAGGGACACAGCTAAGTTGCACCAGACTATTGAGATACAGAGGAATGTACCTGGAGAATTTAATGTGTCAGTTAATTGTTTTTATTGATTTGTTAATTGAATCATCATTGAAACTACCGGAGGAAAACCACACGTAGGCGTACGCCACGTCACGGGGTTCTGTCGCTTCTCTGTATCTCATGCACTTGTCATTTTTGTAGTATATACCAAATCCAAATAATGGTAGAGTAGTTAGAGTAAGTGCTGCGATCCATAGTAATAGCATGCAGCGCACTATCACCGGGAACGTGATTCGCTGTAATAAATTAATTTATCAAAGTTTTAAATTTTTCAAATTTATTATTCATTGAATTTATTTATCAAGTGATCGCGTGGGGATCATTGCCTCATCATAGGCATGAGCTCAGCCCACAATTTTTTATTAATGCCAATAATTATTTTAACTAGCCGAAAGAAACAATTCAAATTGAAAAAAAAAAATACAGAGACGTATCATTTTTATTATCAGGCACTCGGATATTTTTTTTTTCTCGGATTTCATCTCCAGGCTTTCGTGAAATGGACTTTTGGTAATTTTCCAGAGGGTGAACTTCTCTCTAGGTCTCACAGGAAAGTGTGCGTGCAGTATTAGAAAAGGTAATTGATTATTCAGACAGTGATTGCTTCATCTGATAAACCAACGAATTCATCTGATAAATATCATTGCTCCCGTTTGACGCGATTTACGGTAAAAATAGTTTCATCTAAAGTCACCTAGATCTATCAGCAGCCAGTCTTATATCATCATGAATAAAATATCACATCCTCGATCGCCATTATTTGGTTTTACATTACAATACATAATAAAATACCTCAAATATATATAATATATACATGTAATATGTACTATGTTCTCCCACATAAGCCATTATTCAAATGTAATGATCTAAAAATTATTGGGCATCCAAAACTCATCGTCATGGGTTCATTGACCTTTTTATCTTATACCAATGATACCTGAGGGAAAACCGAATATTGCGGAAACCAGATTATCTCCACGGAACCTCAATCATCCCTACGTACGTGATCTTTTTTTATTCGATTATTATTATTCTTCAATACATTCTCATTTTTTTTTTATAGAGATTATTCGTTTTTTGAACTGACGTAAGCGACATCACGTGTAATTTTTTTTTAGTTGAAGGTATTGATTGAGTCTTAACAACTCTGTGGAATTGAGAATTACAGGGGGTCTGACTGAAGCCATTACCGTGAGTTTACTTAATTGACTGTTTTATTTCAGTATGAATGGAACAAATAATTTGATAAGTTCTATAAACAAAAAAAAACCTTAGAATAAAAATAGTTAAATATCCCAATAATAAATAACGGTTTATTCCATTCCTTTCCACAAATAAAGATTGACCCATTTTTTTATCACTTGACATATTATCAGAATGTGCTCTTTCGTATTGAGTTTCTCCTCTCAAAAATTCCTAATAATATCATCAGTCTCTTAAACCCATGTTTCCCGGCCTTTTCTATTTATTTTCAGTTCCATTTTAATTTTTCCATTTCCCTCAGAAATTCTTCCATCGATTATCCCAAGAAATCGTCATTCAAATCGATTAATCGCAACGTAAAAACACCACTGGAATCGATAATCAGTTTTGTATTAATAAATACCCAAAGTGTAACTATCAGCTGTGTTTCAGAAGTCGAGATAAATGTGTCAATAACTTCTTATTTTAGACGAGCCCATTTAAAACGTATGTGTGCGGAGAGATAAGACACCCGCGTATTTCGCTGGTTTAAATTGTAACCTCCGCATGTAATGATGATGACCCCTTAATCCGGTTCCATCCCCACCACATCAACACATGAATATATTCCCATGAACATATAGTTATGACCTTCGATTTCTTAATACTAACAATAATTGATTGAACGTACGTGCACAGACGTACCCCATCCCATCAAATTTAAAACGCATTAACCCCCAGTTTAAAATTTATCTCATTCCTAATGAATTGCAATTGCAATATATTTTTTATTTATTCATTGCGCTATTTTAATTTACCTTTTGATAGATAAAGGGCCTCGTCAGGGCTAGCCATCTCTCGACAGCCATAACGATTGCTACACATCCACTGAATAATCCGAATAATCTCCAGGCAATGCGCAATGAGCAAAATGATCGCGAGGATGTAACTGAATCTACTGTGTAAATAGTCACATACATCTGCACTAGCATTCCCAGTAGAGCAACCAAATCATTGATCGCCAAACATCGAAGCATGAACAGGTGTTTCGGATTTCGTCTCTGCAAACCGGAAATTTACGATTAACCACTCCACACAATTAAAAATATTAACGTAATATTATTCATTTATTATTGATTACAATTAATATTTAAACGAATGAATTCAAATCGTCAACTTAAATTGATACGAAATCGCGGCATGAGGGAGATACGAGTTTCCTGCATCTGAGGAATTATTCATTATTATTCATGCGAGTGAATTTAAATTCAGAAATTTATTCTTCGGTATTTGATAGATGCGGGATTAATTTGTTAAAACATGTAAATCATTTTTTAGAAGATGATTGATTAGGGGGAAGACGAACCTTGTCTTTGTGGAAGAGAATCACCAGTGCTGAGATATTTCCGATGACTCCGCACATGTAAACAAGTGTCAGAACGATTTGAGAGGCCAGAGTAACATGTCTTTTCACGGGAACAGGGATCATCATGGTTGTTGTCAGCATGTCAAGTGTCATTGTGTCATTAAACTCCATTGTCGAGTAATATTACGATAAATGACGAAAAAAAAAATGCAGTAAATCCGTAAGTCCCCGATTATTGCTCAATATCTTCTCGACAAGCAGAGATACCAAAATTTTTATATAAACATTTTTTGGAGCTGGTGTATTTCCCTACAAAAAAGATAATAATGAAAATTTCTCTATCTCCCTTAATTTACGGGATATCGGCCGATTTTCAGAGGAATGGGGTACCAGGGAAGTCGAAGCGCTCTGGTATGCCCCTGCGACATCTATTTTCAATTTAATCTATCTTCAATCTGTCAGAGTAGTTTTAAGATCCGGTCCTGAGGGCCCAGAATCTCCCGTTGGGCCCAGGAAAAAAATGATACCCTTTGGGTCGTAGAAAGTATCAAAAAATTTTTTATTTTTCCTGTCACTGGCACTATCCCGCGGTAAAATTCAATAACCGTCACTTTCTCTTTAAAAATAATTTAACCGAACTCTTTGACTCATTATTCAACCCCTGAATAATCGATCCTGATTCACTTGTGACTGTGCAATTAAATAAATAAATTCCACAAAAGACAATTGAAAAATTTCGGAAATAAAAACCGTTATTCGAGAGATCGGCGACTCGATCTCGTCTGCGGTCTCTTCTTCTCTCAAATCGCCGTCAAAATTCATTCTATTCCCATTCTTTATGAATGCTACCGGCTTATGATAAGAACTCCAGAGTATTTCAGATAACGATTTCTCTTTTCATTCGATTTTTCAGCGTTGCGAATTAAAATCGCTAGTAATAATAATATCACACGCAAAGTCATAACACTGTGTTATCACATTATTTTTTTTATCACTTGATTCGAAATTTTGGTTTACTCTCTCAGATCGTTGGTGATAAATTTTTTAATGACTGCAACAATGAAAAATATTTATCTGTCTCTCAACGCGGTTGTCGCCTCACTGACTGATCGGTCTTCATCCAAGTATTGTTTACCATTCGGTTTGGAAAAAACTTTGAAGTTGTCCCACTACGCAGCCCATTCTGCGCATGCCCGCCTCCCAGTTTTTCAAAGGTATTCATTAATTATCGCATTATCCCTTCATTATGATTAAAAGAAAAAAAAAAAACCATTCACTCGCAGATTTAGTTTGCGTCAACCGATTGAATCGACAAAATATTACATGAATCCCAAGATTTAACAAATGTCTTGTCATTCATATTGATAATAATTCCAGTTCCTTATCTTGTACTGATCCCATTGAATTTTCTGCGTCAGACATTAATTTGGCAAAATAACGAAAAAAAAATGGTGTCCATTCGAAAATAATCCGGGGAATTCGTCTTCATATCGCTCCAGGTCGCGATGACTATTCCCCAGGAAGTCACCCCCAGAGTTGAGGGTCAACAGAAAATATTCCGTCAATTTCGCGTGCATCGCGAATCCGCGTCGCGAATGCATAACACAACATTCAAGGGAATGAACGCACCTAGAATATTTCCAATTATTTCCATTACCAAATCTGAATGCATACACCAATTATCATCACCCCATAATAGTGCAACATTAAAAATAAAAACAACAGCATTTCCTTGGAGGGTATTAATGGGTATCGCTAACGGAATGTAATATTTGACGTAATTTGCATAAAAATGTTGATAAATTTGCATAAATCCAAATCAGCGAGGTGATGAATACTTTGAAGCTTAAGACGCATTCATAATTATTTTATGATTGTACGAGGCTTCCTCTCCCGTTCTATTTTATTCGGGAACATTGCGGTAATGTATGCACATGATTTTCAATCCATCAGCTGCAGCTCATACAATATCAAGTGTTTTTAAACGTGACTATTGGAATAAATCTATTGAGAATATATTTAATGGCAACGAGTTGTCGAGTCGATAGTTGCGTTTAGAAACGACGAATCTCAGTTTGGATGCTCTCCAAAAATAACCGACGTTCCGTGCTTTTTCATTTTCTATTGCTTCTCACTTCGTGTTACGCTCCCAATTGTTGCAGGAGAGCTTGTCCAATTTATTTGAGGCTTTTTTAATTTTTAAAGTTATTAATATCGGTATGTATACTTCATTTTATCCGTGAAATTATTTCCCATCGATTTATCTTAATTGTGAGGAAAAGTGTACGACCCAACGATTGCTGTACTACTGAAATAAAAAATGGTGGATTTTCTCATTTCATCTGGATTTAATCCCAGGAATTTATTATGACGGAATCGCTAACATTTATCAGAGCTCCACTGACTCGATCTATTTATTTCTATACGCAACGCTATTGTTTATATTTTTTTTTATTTTATTTGAGGGATCGGGTGGATTATGCCATTGCGTGGAGATTATTTTTGGAATATTTTTGGAACTCTTTTGGAAATGCAACTATTTCCTGAGTTATTATTTACTCAAAGAGAAATTCAATAATTTATTTAGTCCATGGTAGGATGAATAATTGTTTTTTTTATAAAAAATTATTTTTCAATTATTGAACGTACGATTATTTAAAAACACCAGTTTTTATTCATTTTCTGGAATTTTTTGTAAATTCTCTGATCTTTTAATAAAATTGAAATAAGGGAAAATTTAGAGTGAATTCAAAAATCATTTCTACCGCCAGTAGTGAAAGTTTTTAGACTCAATCATAACCCTGAATATATGTTCTGTGGTAATACCACGAGAACTTGGACAACAGTCAAAAGATAGTGTTAATTAATCTCAAAAATCAAATGAATATCATCTAATCATCAACAATCTAATGTGATTGTTGTCTTCATAATTATTAACGAAGATTTACTGATTTTTCCCTGGCATTCAACGAATTACCAGGGAAATTAGTTCGTTTGATACCACATAACCTCTACACCCGAAAAACAATCACAAATAAAATTTCAAAAGGTACAAGAGGTCTTACACACGTCGAGCATTAATTATTATTGTGGAATAATGATTAATTTGTTTCTTACGAAATTGAATTCAGGGAACAACAGGGAAAAGGGATATGGATATCGAGAAAGAGACTATAGACGCCATGAGAGCTATGCTGGAGGATTCTCCCCAGGTTCCTGATGAAAATGTATACATAAATAAATTAATATATCAGTTTATGTTTATGTCATCGTGCAATTACTTATTGAAATTGAAAACGAACCATAGAAATTGCTGAATCCATTCAGCAGATGAATCTCATTTTGTTTTGAAATAGAAAGTTCATAAATTTAATTACTCAATGCACATAATGAATTTGTTTATAGGCGACAGGTTCGAATCACGGGAAAAAGCACTCGAAACAAAAAAAAAGAGACTCCGCTTCCCTCTATGGAAACGAAGTGGCAGAGATTCTTCAATCCTCAGCCACTCCAGAACAAAAATTATCAACAGTTTGTAACAAATATTCTGAAATGCTTCATGCAAATCGTAAATTAATGATGGCTTATAAAATGGCAGAAGTTAGAATTTCTAAAATGCAACATCAGAATGAACAATGCCAGCAGCAACGCTCGAAAGCTATCCTAGCAAGATCGAGATTAGAAAATCTATGTCGTGAGTTACAGAAACTTAATAAAGCCCAGAAGGAGGAAATTGATTTGAAATTGAAGCTTGACGAGGAGAAAAGGAAGGAGATATCTGCTACTTTTCAGAGTGCCTTTGCTGAGATGAGTACATTGACTAATCAGAATTCCGAGAAAAATACAAAAATGAGAGAGGAGAATCTCGAGATGAGGGAGAAAATTAAATCGGTGAGGGAGAGAATTGAATTGAGTGAACAGCAGTTGGAGAAGGTGAGGCAACAGGCACAAGTGAAGTTGCAGCTGGCTGAGGCTAAAATGGCTAAAGTTAAACTGGAAATGACTGCTGAGAAGGAGACGTTGCTGAAAGAGAAACAGCAGCTGCTGCTGGTACATTTTATTTCATTTTTATCCAGAAATTTTCTAACAAACATTACATAATTCCCAATACCAAAAAAAAAATTTAATAGAATATTTGATCATAATTTGATAGATGAAACGTTTTTCAGGATTTAAATGGATTCACACTGTTTTTGTTAATCACAGGGTCATTCGTATTAACACTATTCCGACTTGCTCTGATTTCAGAAATTAACCGAATACCAAGTGAGAGTACAAGAGCTCCAGGCAGTTGAAGTTGGACTGAGAAGTCAGATCAGCATGTACACCGAGAAGTACGATGACTTTCAGAGTGCCCTCATTAAAAGCAATGAGGTTGTCAGTGGCTTCAACGAAGAAATGCAGAAGGTAATTCACTATAATTACTTAAACGTGACATAATTAATCGTTGTGACTAATCTCGTTCATTCACTTGAGTAAATTATTATACAGAACTAACAAATCATTTAAAAATTTGATTGAAAAACTAGAGAAATGTTGGAATTCAATGAATTGTTCCAGATGTCAAAGAAAATTATAGAATGGGAGACAAAAACTACTTTGTGGAAAAAGCGATGGGAGAAGAGTCATGAAGCGTTACTGGAAATGGCAACTGACAAGCAGGCACGTGAGGCAGAGATGTCAAAGCTCACTGACAAGTACTCAATACTCCAAGAGTTGTGCAAAGCCTTCCAACGTGAGAGAGCCGAACTTCTCTATTTAAGTGCTCAGTGCGGCAAGGATCCTCACAAGTATCCAAAAATAGCTGAAATGGATATGCAAAAAGTGGCAGGAGAGGCTTTGACAAAACTCCTCGGGGAGAATGATACTAAGGAGGAAATAAATGAATCCGATGAAAAATTGAAGACTCAAATCCCCGAGGTATCTAATTCCCCCACAACTGAAAGTAATAATGACCAAGACATTGTGGATAAATTATCAGGAATTAAGGTTAGTGACAGTGAAGCTGGGACTGAAGAGAAATGCAATTCACTGGGGAATTCTCACGATGATAATCAATCAGCCTCGAATTTACAATGTTCCACTGACAAATCCACAAATTGCATCACCACTACTGAAGATATACAGGGAATTAATGAGAGTGAGAATTCATTCTCGGTGGAAAAAAATGTGCCACTTTCAGAAGTCACTGGGGAAACATCACCTTCACCTTTGCCTTCAGCTGATGAAACTCAGAGAAATAATTCTGAGGCTTCTGCACCTTCCGATGAAACTCAGAAAACTAATTCAGGGAAAAAACACAAGGTGGGTACATAGAATTTACTGGAATATCCAGTTGTTAAATTGTATCAGGAGTGAATTATTTTTCAATGTTTTTTGCAGCAGGGGAAAAAAAAGAAAAGGTAGATTTTAATTTTCCCAATGATTTTGTCATATATTTTTAAAATGTTCATTAGTGTCACCTAGAGTTACGTTGAGATTGTTGGAGGATTTTCAGCTGCATCAATTCATCAGTTCATCAGTCAATCGCTATTAAATTATGATAATGTTTATGCGAGAAAATATGTAGTGATCATTATTACACGTATTTAATTATAGAATTGATAACGATTGTAAATTTTCAATTTTCAATGAATTTATGGAATTACCATGTGGTTTTTACCACTTAACTTTACTTTAATAAATGATCGAAAAAATTGTCACATGATGAAAGTACTGGGTGGATTCAAATTATTTTAGTTCAATTAATTAATAGAATTTATTTAACGAGAAAGCTGATTAGTCAATCCACGGTAAGTACGTCAATTGATGTAAACTAGTCTCTTTCATTTCTTATTCCACCATTTTGCGTCAATGACAAACGGTAATTTTCCGGAAAGTCGTCTATTTTGAATGAACATCGGTATTAAATTTATATGCATCGTAGCGCGTACTTTCTCCTATATTATCCCTCATCCTGCAATTAGTATTTCATCTCGATTTCCATTCACTGAACGATTTTCGAAATAAAGCTGTTGTCATTCTGCCGTTACGATAACATAAAAAAAATTCCATATTAAATCCAAAAAAATGCAATTATTTCCACCAAACATATTTTTCTGGCCAATTGGTGTAAATTTTTTAAAAATTCAACATGCCCTGATTTTTTCCCGCAAAAAGTGATTATAAAATGAATTGTTAATAAACATTCCACCTTGACTATCTGGAATCTTCAATAGATTTTTTATTTGCCATCCCAATTAAATGATCCATCCCTGTCCCGTTATAATTCCATGCGAGTGGGTCACCAGCACCTCTTCACCGGTATTGTGCGTATCAGAAGCACTAATACCATCGAAATAAGAAATACGGGTAAATGGTGGGGTATTATGGGCTGAAAGTTGTCCAGGCGACTCTCTTCTCGATGGTCATTGCGGTATTAGTGAGTGCAACAGCGTCGGGGTAACTCGCAAGTTCAAATCTGGATAAAATTCAGATTAAATTTTCCCGATTAAATATCCCCAAACACTCCAATAATTAAAGTTCCCGCGGTCCCTTACAATACTTATAATAGTAATATTATCAACAATAAGTTAATGTTCTGTTAATTTCGTTGGAATTATTTGAGCGCCTGATTTTTTACTCAGCGATAAACTGGATCAGTCATGAAGTTTATTACCACAACTTTTCTACTTTTAGTCACTGGTACGTAAAATTCATTTTACTCAACTTTAATTTTTATTGAGGATTTGATTAAGCATCGGTAAATTTTTCGGGGAAAAATTTATTGAAGCTATTTACCGTTATTAAATTGCGAAAATTGCAGTTGCTCTTTTTGAAACGGTAGATGCAGGATAAGTACCGTAAGGTGCGCACGTTTTCATCGCGTTTTATAACATTTATTCGTGATCTAATGAAATAATTATAGATAATGATTGATGCGCGATTATTCTGAAGACACAAAATTCCTCAATGCCATCAGTAATTGAATTTTAATGTACGCAAAATAATTTGTATAAAATTGTTGTATTGTGTATAAATATATCGATGAATAAAAATATGAATTTTCTCATATTAAGAAATTGAAATGGAAAATAAATCTTCAATTTTTATGCAACGCCTTGTAAAATGCAACTACAATATTTCACATACTGAATTCTGTGCTATCATCTCTCTCACCGATTTCATCTTCCGATTGTTATTATTTATATTAAGATTCTCAGCCTATGGACTCTTTACACAGACTTTCTGGACTATTTAACGACTTACGACTTCAACTAACGTTGTGGATTGAATTTATGTAAGATAAATCTACTCTCGCTATTAATAACCGGAAAAATTTATAGTTAATTGTACAAACAACTGGGGAATCATGAAGAATTACTATTGTTTAACAGAATATTTACTAAACCTCAGGGTGAATTTTACTGTAAATTTCTCTCTGTGATAAAATATTATTGCATGTGATGGAAAAATTAATAGCAGCTTTCCTCTATTTCCAAATAAAGTCTTTTACGTTGAAATTATTTCCGTGATCATCAGTGCTGACAAATATGGTTGAAAGATTAATCATCTTCAGAGGTTCAGGGGTTCAGAGTCATCCAGGAATTCTGATTGACAGGTCTTCAAAAGATTAAGAAAATTATAACGTAATCATGCACGCAGATTCTTGGACGTCTATTGAACTAGAAAGTGGAAATCAAGTGAATAATTTCCGGTGCATAAATCACTTGATGTAGTCAACTGTAAAAATGGGTCGAATATCATCGAAAGTAACTATTAATGAAAAAGGAGACAGTGGATTTGTTGTAAAACTCCAATGGCGTGCCAAAACTCGTGCATTAACTCGGGGATAAAATTCTCTATCCCAGTGGAATTATCACGGTAATTATTCCACTTTTTATAGCACCTACCATTTTCATACTCTCGTGTGAAACCGAAAGGATAATAACTGATATATGGTAATTACCGAACACCAATATCTTGTAACATTTTAATTGTTTCCCTTTTATTATTTTATCACCATCCGTCAATTTTGAATGATGGGGGAATTATGAAGCTGTTGAATACGTGAGAAAAATAACTTCAACGGAGAGAAATATTTAATAGCAAAATTTCCCCTGAGATTTCAGTGAAAAATTAAAAAAGTTGCTATTTTCACTTTACAATATTGTCGTGAAAATAAGATAATTTTCATAACAAATTTTACTAGAATTATAATTTCATCATTTTTGTTGTACATTATGATTTTTTAATTTTAATTGATGGAAAAATTCCATAGTATTAATTACAATTACCGAAAATCACCTTCAAGGATGGAGATAAAAATTCCCAAAAAACTATTAAGAGAAAAATTGATGTCGCAATTTAGCGAAGTGTTATGAAATATTTCTATGCGCATGCTGTTATTTTTCCAATCCCCCAGCTTTATATTCCATTCGAAATGAAAAATTTATTCATTCGATGATAGGTATGAGTTGCCACACGATTCTTAACAGCTCCTCTACGCAAATTAATAAATAATTCCCCAGCCCAAACCGAAATTCCAATTCCACACGTGAATATATTTTTAAGAATTCTCAAATAATTATTACGTAACCGTTATTATTGATGAGCATACCGACACGGGTGATGCATAATTCGTAAGATAATTTTTTTCGATAAACAATCGGAATGGAGAAGAGTTACTGTTCTTGAGATTGTGGGATTTGTGAGAAACACGTGAACTCGTCGTGTTTAATGATTCCTCATCAGCATACGGTGAAAGACCTTTGTCCCATTGAAAAATTCCGGCGATTCGTCACCCATCGGGATGAAAGTAGTTTTTTAACAGTGTGTCAGTGCGTTGTTCACTAGTAATGTTTTTTTAACTGGGTTACTAGGTTACGGCACACCTCCAATCTACCTGTTTCCTCTCCTCAAGTTTGACGAATTCTACCGGAAGAATAATCAATCAAAAAAATCCCATGAATTACCGTGCATTTAACTGCACATTAATTACTATTCCTTTATTTTCGTTATTTTCATCGTTACGATTTTCACTGACGTGCGGTAAATTATTTTCTCTCCCCATTCTGTCAATCATAAAACTCATCAGGAGAATTGATACTTGAAACTAAAGGGCTATCATTAGAAGAAAATGTGTTACCTGGTAATAAAATATCTTGCAGCGCAGAAAGGAAAATGATAATTTCACTCTCACTCATTAACTGATAAGTGGATGGAAAACGAAATTTATCGAGTTACGACTCGAACTAATCGGAAATATGTGACATAATTGTTATCAACATATGATTAACTCGTTAAAACGTGCTGTTCTCCCCTAGGCCAATCAATCCATCGATAAATTCCACATTGACATCGACGGCTTAATAACAATTCTCAAAGCAAGATAATAGCACAGAGTATGAGTATTAACAATCGAGGATCCGTGTTTATCGTTGAATATTATCAACAATATAAGAAGATATTTTCTAGGATGTACATGGCGAGAGACATTAGGCACATGTGTCCTGGAATCAGAGTTTGGTTTTACTCTTAACTGTGCCTTCAAAAAATCCGGTCTCTTCCGGGTGCGAAATCTCGGGGGTGTCAAGGGATACGTCGGCCTCGGTGAGTGTCCGACTTTTAAACATCAAAATAACTCGATCTTTTAACAGATTGCATCGACAAACACGACCGATTCAAAATTCATGTAGCCAAATTGGTGAAGGAGATTAATCTTCAAACTGCAGGTGCTCCATAATCACTACCAATCGCTTAACAGTAAATATCTGCAGAATGAAGGGAGAAATCAAAATTTACGTCATTACCTTTTTTGTCGATCTAATCCAGAGCCACAATAAAGGTTATTACAAAAATTTTTATATCTCCTTTAATTTTGCAGATATTACAGAAAAAGAAATTGAAATCGCCTCATCGCTTCGCTACTGGAGTATCCATTCATTTTCTGTTAAAAAAGGCTCTTGTCGACGATTATTTTATCACTTTAAGACCATATTTGTTGATAGTCACTTTAAATTACATATTTGTCGAACTAATCCACCATTTCCCGGAGTGAAAACGACCTGTGAGGAAAAAATTGAAAATATTCATTGGCTTGACCCCAATTTATACCGCGATGTCAAGAACCAGAAGGTCAACTTCATTAGCATGTGTGATTACAACATTATTATTTAAATATTAGCTAATTTGAATAGCCCATAGTAGTGGATAACAGGTTCTATTTGTTTCTCTAAACGCATAAAAAATTTATTGCGCGTCTTCCTATCTCCATAGATTTTTTACGCGACACCAAAAATTTGTTTATAATCATTCTGATAATTATTCTGATAATATTTCTTCACCTCTTTCACCAATTATTCAATAACACTATAAATACTGCACGCACCCATCAACGCAAGGCTAATTGTTCCACTTCTCTTTCAAGTTGAAAAATAAAAACAAGAATCCATGGTAAATCATTAATTATTCATTGTATCTAACCCAATTCTGGAATTCTTAATCTGGGGCATGTAAAATAAAATAAAAACTTGAGGAAAAAGCAGAACTGACCTGCGATCATCATCCAGTCATGCGGTGTTACGGTGACACAATGACGATTGCGTAATGAGTATTTTATTTCATGCAACGCATCCCGACAATTTCATTGATTATCCCCTGGTGATTTCGATATTCGCAGGCTTCAGTGTTGGAGATGAACTCGGATTTCGAGAGTCTCTTTCGAATCTGGAGGCAAGTAAAAGGAGAAGTGTTCATGCTGGACAGGCGAATTTCATCGGAATAACAAATGGGGTAATTTTTATCACACCTAAAATGAGGTGATTAAATTGAATTAAACGATTATCTGGTGATTGTCCTATTACAGGGATCTCCAAGTGCTGATACTCGACAGATATCTCAAAATTCCCGAGTGGTACCACCATTCAAGCCCCTGCCCCCAGGTGCAAGTCGACCAATGGCCCCTCAACCAGAACACCAGAGACTAGTTGTACAACACAACACGACGGCCTTGAAAACAATTCCAGCCCCTTCACTAGCTCCATTACAAGATCCAGCTGTTCACCATCAGCAAATGCTAATGCAGCAAAAAATATCGATGCAACAGCAGAGAATTCAACAGGAGATTAATAATCGTCAGCAGCAGAGGCTCCAGCAGGAAGCACTTGCTCTTCAGATACTCAAGGAGCAGAAGCAGCAGCAGGAAGCTGCCAACAAGCAGAAATTGATGCAGCAGCGGCAATCGGTGAATTTGCAAACGAAGAGGATACAGGTGAATTTATGATTACACTGACCTGGCAGATTCAGGAAAATTAATTGTTGATTTCAGATGCCTCAGGGGATGATTTCAGTGGGCAATTCTCCAGTGTACACACCAGCAATCAACATTGCCACGGGTATCTCACCCTCCGAAGCTGCGGTCATTGGAAAAATCACAAAAATGCAACCGATACCTGGAATTTTAATTAGAGATACCAATTTACCTGCATTCGTTACGATGCCACCGTCATCAGCTCAACTTACGAATCGTTTGAGTAACAGTCAAACTTTGCTGGTGGATTCTGTCAATGAGGTTCCCAAAGATGATTTTAATCAGGTAATTTTTTATAATTGTTATTAAAAAAATGGTGTACAATATTGTCGATATTCATGGCTCGTATCGTCAGCTTCCCTTGCCCACCGAGGAAATGGCTGCAACCGTCAATTTAATGACACTCCAGTCGCTGAATCCAGGAGCTTCTCCAGAAAATTCTCAATTGTTGAAACAGCAGAACGAAAAACGACAGACTTTTGATCAACAGTCTTGGCCGGGGTTGGGACCGATTCAGGAGATGGGGACATCTCTCAAGGCCCTGTCGGAGGCGAGTAATATCACCCTGGAGGCCCTGGAGGCAGCCATTTTATTGAGGCAGAAGCAATTGATGGAGAAGCATCAGGGGCCGACAACAGCACCTACAACCACCACCACCTCCACCCATTCTCCAGTCAAAACGTGAGAAATCACTCTATTCGTTGTCTTCACCTTGAAATTTTTAGGGTAATTAAGGGTAATTATGAAAAGAATGGAATTGTTTAATTACAGAAATTATAACAATGCTGGGACGACAAAAGTGATGAATGCACCCCGGGAGTATTACCCAATGGGATATGACAAGAATTTTGATGATCATTTTGCAAGTCGTGTCGATCTTCCGGACACGAGTTTTTATTGTGGAGATCAAAAGCATTTCCCTGGTCTCTATGCAGATGAGGATTTAGGCTGCATGGTATTCCATGTCTGCGCTTTAATCGACGAGGGCTTGATAATGAAGAGCTTTCTCTGTCCAGAGTCCACTCTGTTCGATCAAACTATTTTAAAATGCAATTGGTCATTTTACGTCGACTGCAAAAATTCTCGAAATTTGTACGACAGCAATATTCCCATTAGCAAAAGCTATCAACTCATGAAGGCACTCGCATTCTTCTCGGCTTATAAAAATAATGACAACTCAACAGCTCCAGCTGATGACAGTGAATCGTAAATTTATTTAACAATTTTAGCTCTCACCAAAATGTGTTTTGTCAGTCTTAATTCATGCTCAAGTATCTAAGGGTTAATATATTTACATAATGGGAGATATTTACAGGACAAATCTAGTTTTTTTTTTAATGAATTAATCGATCGTTTAATTAATGATTCCATACGCAGGCACTTGCATACGGAACGTTTGTATATATTATTCATAATTTATTGCAATTCAATATTCTGTACAGGGTTACTATTACTCGGTGATTTTTATTATTATTCTAGAATGATCAATCATATTTTTGCTATGAATCATTGGAACCAGCAATTGTGTACATATTTTATAAGATGTAAAGAAAATTTTTTACTCTTTTCTCTTACGATGGAGAAATATGGAATATTCACGTTTAATGATTGGTACTCAATCAAATAAATAAAGAGAATTCGATGAAGGATTTGGCGGTAATTTATTAGGGAAATTTCTGAGGTGATGGGGAATAATTCCACTGGGTTCTTCATTGATCATTTTAATGATATTCTCCATTTCATACAAATTAAGTCGGAGAGATATTTATAATACAAACTTAAAATATATACATCAATATCTTGTGAAACGTTTCTTTTACAGCGTGTATCCGGTTGATTCCATAATTTATCGATCTTTTTTTATATTTATTTCTTTCATTCACCGTTATTCATCTTCATTGTGCATTGTGCAATGCGTCTGGCAAGTTTGAACATTCATTCTTACTCTGTTCTTTTTATTTTTTTAAACTCATATTTTTTGGACAGAATTTCTAATGATTTATTTCGTTGGAATTGAAAAATTCAAAAAATTAAGTTAATGAAAAATCGACTGAATGTCTATATTTTCGAATAAAAAAATAAAAATATTCTGCCCAAATTATTATATGTAAGGGATTACGATTTTTAACGCATTTGTGATATTATTTATTAGCGTTTTTCCATCCCTCACAAGAGCGCAAACAAAAAACCGGTGTTTTCCCCTCAATTTCATTTTTTTTTAAATTCATTTAGGAATTAATGGATGACACTTCATTGATCAAGTCCATTCCGCGGTGAGAAATAAAGAAGAAAAAATTGGTTTTATGTTTGAACTCTTGCCAATGAATTCCTCATTCTCTACTTTCCAAATCCCTCAATCATTCCAATTCTCCGACCCCAACAGAATCTTAAATGAATTTATTCTCCATCTATCAACATCATTTCTCTCTTCAATCTCTAATTGTTATCTCTTTCCTCTTGATTCTCTGAAACTCTCAAGTAATAAGAATGCACAAACAAATTCGAATAGAAATAAAAGAAGCATCTCAGAGGGACGATGAAAATTCATGGAAGCATAATCGAAAGTTTGAATATTTTTCGTTCACCTGACGCCATCGATTGCCACAAATTTCCAATAAAATTACGATCAGTAATAATTTATCAATTGGCATTCCCCCTGAACTCTCATTATTTTCCGTCTATTTTCCATTTTTGTGCAGTGCACGAAAATATCTCGAAGGCTTTCATTAATTATATTATTTACAAACGGCCTTAAACGAATTCCAAAGTTTCGTGTGAGTGGCGAGAGATATATCACATTTTCCACTCATTACTTCGTCGATTAATTCATCATTAAGTCTAATCCAGTGATGAGACATGGAATTTCATTTTTCTCAGTTACAAATGTTTTTCTGAATTTGAAATAAAATCAAGTCTCACCACTCGATTGCAAAATTCTTCTCCTAAATTGAAAAAAAAAAATTGACCAATGAATAACTCAAGATAATAATTATCACAGCTTTGTTGTGATGTGACAGAATCGCAAAAATTTCAATTAACCATAACTTTTGAATTTGCGGCAATCGAGACAAAATAATAATTAATAATCGCATGGACTTGTCGATTAAATAATCCAATAATTTTCAAGTCCCCATTAATGTTCATTTCATTAAAAAAATTATCAGCTATATCCGTTTTTTTGTTTATTTTCATTTTTTGTTTAATTTTTTTTTATTTCATTGTTACTTTAAGTAATGAATATTAATATAGGTAATAATTGCAAATACAACTATATATAATGAATATACGAGCCTTTGTCAGGGGAGCAATGCAGTCGTCGTCATTAAAACATTGTTTGTTACTTTTTTTTATCTCTCAAGAAAAAGGGAGGGGCTTTTCTTGTTCATCTACACGTAGTAGTTATTCCCATCTTTCATCAAATTTCTTATCGTATCGCTTTAACAATTAAATCAAATAATAACACACATTTAAATAATAATTAATGAATAAACAATGGTGACCGGTAACTTAACGTCCACGCTGGTACCAGGCCAATGGCTTTCTTTTTAATTAGATTAATAATCATCCACGGAAGTGCCTTTTCATCGACTCTGAAGTCATTTTTCTCTAGAGCTAGAACTAAAATTAATCATTCACGAATTTTTTTTCCTCAGCTTTTTCTTCGCTATGAATTATGAAACAGTGACGCATACAGTGTTATTTTTTTTTTAAAGGGGAAGATGGGAAATTAATTAATCAAACTATTGGAGAATCGAAGATAATCACAACTTAAAGTCAGCTGTTAATGAATGATGGTCAATATTTGATTGGTGATTTGAGGAGTGGGATGGCAGAGCTGATGATTTTGGGATTTTTTTTTTTTGAGTAGACACAATTACAGAACTTACAGGGAAAAACTTGATAATTTTTTAAATTAAGTGATAATTCAGTGCCTGATGTTTCGAATTGATTTGAGTCTCGAAATGAAATTTTTGTGTTCGAGAAAAGTCATTTGAAATTACTACAGCAATTGCGTTTGAGAAGAGAAATTAATTGTTGTACTTTAATTATAATATCATCACAGTCAAAAAGAATTATTTAATACAGTTAATGAATATGATTCTTCTCTTTCTTCCGCTAGTTTATTATCAGTATTGAAGCTCCAGTGATGTGCACGTTAAAATCAAAATGTTTGACATTTAAATTTGAAAATATCTAGAATTCTCGATTTGATATGATATTTCCGAATTTTTTTCCATTAATAAATTGATATTGGGATACAGGAGAGTCCCGTTATAATCCCGCGTATTTATTTTTCGACTTTAATTCTTCACCGGAAAACAGAAATTGAGGAAAGGTGCGGCTATAACGGGATTCTACGGTATATTAATGTTCGGCGAAAGGGTAAATGCACAAGGGAGTTCAGATATCAATGAACCATCAACTAAAAAATCAATTTTCAGTCTGAAATAATTTTTATGAGTAACGAAAAAAAAATGTTAATAAATGGTTTATCTGGAGTTTGTAATTTTTTAAATGTTAACTTTAGCGCACTGACTCCCTCAGATGCAGAATATTTACAACATGGTGAATTGAGGCTGCCTATGTACATTTGTATTGTCAGCAAAAATGCTGAAGTAAGATTACACGTGGGAACTAGACATTTTGCTGATGCACTATTCATTTTTTTAAAAAGTGTAAAACTGGACAGGATATTTGATTATCGAAGGACGAAACTTTTATCATGCCTTATTCCCATAATTAATGTACTTGGTGACAAATTTATTGAGATATTTCATCTAATCAGAGAAGAAAAATTAATTTTCTATTCATTACATATGACTTTTCATCTGTTCGTTCGCGCTTCAACTTATATTATTATTTTCTCTACGATTCGAGCGCTCATTCGAGCCTCATGTTTCTCTCCGTAGTAAACAAGATTATTCATCTTACAAATTTATTTATGGTAACGTTCAACACGAGAATTAGAGGATATAAATTTTTTTTTTTCTAGTTTGCCTCCGAGCTATTCATTTGTTTACATTCGTGAAACTGAGGCACTTTGTGCAGAGCACGACTCATTCTTCATTGCCAATTTATTTTTTACCCAGATTCTATCACTTTCAGCTGCTTTCTTTTGATTCATTCGATTGGTTCCGTATTTCCTCAATCAGATACAATTGTTACACAATATAATATGTATAATATGGTCGTATCGTTAGTCTTGCTTTCATTACAATTGGCACTTGAAAGTTACATTGATTAAGTTATTCCCTACGAAAAACAAATAACTCATCACTTTCTGTTTTTACTATTGGAAAGTGATGATAAATTTTGATGATAATCTCATCTAATCAGCTTTTAATTTCGCTAAATTTCCAATTATAATTTTCATCAGTCAAAGAAAGAATTTTCCTAAGTGGTTTTTCTTTTCAATTAATCAGAGAGAACAAGCTTTTCCCATTTTCTGTCTTTCCGTCACTAGTCTGTAACGACTATACTTTAGATCATATTGTCCAATTGAGACAGATCTGACAAATCACAACAAGTGACACCTGAAAACTTTGGCACCTGGGCTTTACACACGGAAAATATTGCATAAATTTCAAAAAAGCGTGTGAATAATTTTATCTATCAGAAAAAAAAAGAGTCATAAATGTACTCATTGTGCCACAACACATCATAACAGGCTAAAAATTCCATCAACATATCAACACATTAGTCTTTTCCCCTCTGAGAAAAAAAAATAAATCCCTTAACTACTACTTTCTTTTAATTTTCCACGAATTATTTGTGTAAGTTCAAAAGAGGAAGTCTTCTATTAATATCATCTCACAAATAATCGGTAATTTATCCTAAACGATTTCTAACGTAACCTCACATTTTTCATCCCATTTTTGCACAACCCAAACGAGTTTGCACATCATTATCTAATTATACCATTAATGAGCAACAAAAGTCCCAAACAATTTCGACGTGTGCGTGAATTCGATGAAGTGGAAAATTATAATCGTACAGACCATTTTCTGGTGATTGTCCACCGATTTTTTCCTTCAAAGATACATTTCCCTCGATTCGACAATTACATTCCACCACTTCACCAATCGATAGAAATGAATAATCAAAATCAAATCAACAACAATCACTATGGACATTGCATAATAAAGAATTGATCGTAGAAATTTAGTGTTCGATAATATTGGAAGATGCATTCAAAGAAAAAAATAATTTATCATCAAAATGGATAAGAAATGTCTCATTGAGAATTTGGCATTACATCCGATTGTTCGTGAACAAAAACTTAATGAATAACCTCATATCAACCAATCACTACTCAAAAAAAAAAAAAAAACAAAGATTAAAAATAATCTGGAACAGTAAAATGAATAATTTTCATCAGAGCAAAACGATTGGTAATCAATATAGAGAGGAAATACCAACTAACAATAAAACAACCGAACGACCACTCAATCCTGTACAACGCCTACAATCATCCAATCAATCCCCTCTAATTATTGGATTATTCGTAATAAAATAAAACAAACTGTTCCCAAACTAATTCAATACTTCATACACGAATCTTACAATTATCTCTAAACGTTAAATCCCCTTCTCCTATATAAAATTATTATTACCGTCAAGTAGACATTGGCTGCTGTTATCACCTCAATTAATAATCGTTTAACCCCCTAATTACCCTAAATTTCATTTTAATGTACATTCTATTGGCACAGTTGCGTCACCGTGTAATATCGATATAGTTGATCCATTTACTATTAATTTTTTTTTTTCGGATTTGGTTGATTTTTCTATTTCATTTTAATGATTTATTTTTAATGATAAGATGAAAACAAAATTCATAAGCAGAGTCGATAGAACAAGATCCTCGTGTCCACCGATGATTCCTTTTGATATGGAGTGTCTCCGGATAATGAGTTAATTGGATGAACGCGGATAATCCGTCGTACATACTCACGACAGGTAAATCACGTCTTTCACTTTGTTCCAGTGAATCCAATGGAAATCATCAGCTCGTAACACTTTATTCACAACTTCTTCAATGGACGATACACTCGGACGTGCTCACTGATCAACAAATATAGATAACGCTGTATTTTTATTTAATCGTGGACACATGGAAACCGGATGGAATTAACAAACAATTTTCACTGCATCGGTTGATACCGATTGTCACCGGTTTTCACTTGATTCTCCAGATTGTTGCTGGAGAAACATTTTGCTCTTCATTAATTATTCATGTGTTTTTCTTCCCTTAGCAGTTAAATGGCATCTCGAGTGACGCTACAGGAATAATTAGTTTGATTTGATAATAATTCATCTTCACTTTGAAATATATCATCAATCGATAACACTGGATGTATTTTTTTTTTTGTTGTTTTCTCTCATCTCAAATTAAAATGCAAATATCTCCGTAACGTATCGATTATTCCATGAATCAGATTCCTTATACTGTTTTATTGGTGATTGGAGTTTATGTCAGTATCTCAATCTATCGTCATTTCTGATGTGATCATCGCAGGATCCCATTCCAGTGTCCTCGCGATTTATTAACCGTAAATCCCAGTCTTCGACCATGTCTTTTATTTGAGTTAATTTTGCGTGGAGTTCATTGTATTTTTTTCTTCGTATCGAGTGTTCACTTCTGACGTGGTAATATTGAGCATGAATTTGTTGAGAAATTGCCTGAGGATAAAAACCAAAATAATTTTTCATGCATTAAAAAAAAAAATTCAATTACACACCCAATTGATTTATTTGATCCAGGTAAACGTTATTCAAACAAATCATTTCTCTCGGCTCTAATGATTCCTTTATTTACCTTGGCTTTCTCCTTATTCCCCTTTTCTAATTCTTTTTCTTTAAGTGCATTCAGATGATGAATTAATGTAACTTCCTTGGCAATTCGATCGTACATCTCCATGTAGGCAGGATGCTCCCTGGTCCATATTGCTTTGTAACGGACTTTCTCCTCGGGGGTTCTAATTGGAGGGAATTCCCTGTAAAAAAAAAATGAAAAAAATCCCTGATGTGATAGTTTATCGGAATTTTCCCCAAAAAGGCAACGAAAATTAACAAAAAAGGGACTTACACTGCCCAATCAATTGGTGACTCCTCAGCATCCCCAGAAGTAACACCTGGTGATGATGAATGGGGTGTTGTACTGCTAGCAGTCAAATTGGAAGCACCAACACCAGATAATTCATTGCAGGAATTTCCACCAGACGCACTATTATCCCTTTCACATTGTTCAACTTTATCATGTTGTTCACGCTCCCTCCGCATATCCCTCTCCTTATCATTACGACCACGATCATCCTTCCTACCACCGTTACCACCAGGACTAGCTCTATAACTACCACTCGTAGTTGGTTTATAATCACTGTTATCACTTACTGACATTTTGTAATTACTTTGCAATTGATTTCTACTAGTAGCAGCACTCGATGGAATTATTTCTTGATTGTAACGTGCACTTGATTGTAACATTACTTCTTCAATATCACTTGTTGGTGTTGTTGATGATTTATTTTTCACGTAGTTGACATTCGTCAGATTATTCGTTATTCCACTAGTCGTTTCACTATTCGTTGATCTCTCAGGACGATTATCGTTGCGTTCACGCTGTTGGTGTCTCGATATGTCCCAGTTATTTTCATTTTTAATCACATTTTCAGAACTAATATTTGGTGTCCTTGTGTTTTCTCTATTGGCACTTGAGCCACTTGTCGCACTTGTTGGCTCTGGCTTACGGTAATGGGATATTCGGAGACGTTTTGTCGTTATTCCATCGCTACCTTGGTGATAACCTGGACGTTTCAGATTTGGAGGTGGGGCTATTATTGCGGGGGGCGAACCTGGATGAGTTGAATTTGGCGATGTACCACTTCCTGAATTAAAAAAAAACCATTAGCTTTAAATGAATTGTGAATAAAGAGAAAAAATTAATAAATGGAAAAGCCCGAGTTTCCTCACCACTTGAGCAATCACTGGAGCCCGGTGGTGTCAAATTCTGGGGTTTTCTCCTTTTCAATGTCGCTCTATCCTGTTCAGTGTAAAAAGGCCAGTCCTCCTGCACGTCGTTCCACACGTGCCTCTGGAGGACATAAGCATTATCCTTCATGCTGGTTATTTGCTTGAGAATATTCGTTATAGCGCTCCTCTCACGATCCTTCAATCCCTCTCGATTGAGACGATCATAAAGCTCCGGCTTTTTGTAAGGCCTCAGAGCAAGTACATGGATGAGTCTTTCTCGCAGAGGCCTTCTGCAAAGCTCACTATTCTTTTTCTCAGGTTGATAACGCACTGGTGGATTGCTACTGGTGATGGGCTTGTACGAGGGCGATGAATTGGAAGTGGAATTTATTGTTGGATGAGATGATGGATTGGATGGATGGGTCGGGGCATGGGATCGGGGCATTGCCGATGAGGGCATGAGCCTAGACGATTGACTCATGGAACTTGGAATGCTCGTTGTTTCGCGATGCCTAGATGTTGCTGGTGGCGGTGGTATCGTTCTACCTGTGTTTTTTACTTTAACTCTTCGCCCAATGTCTGGACCACTCGCCTTTATCACCCTGGTGCTGTAAAAACAACCAGAATATCTATCAATTATATTCAAAGAAAAGGAACAAGTCCTTATATTATTTTGTCAGTGATGTGGAAGACGATTGGGGAAGTTTATTTAATGCTGGGATGAAACTTGATGAATATTTTTTTTCAACAAGTTTTTTAAAAGATTGATGTGACGAGATGTGAATATTAACCATTTATTCTTGTTATTCTGATCGACCGCCGCCATACGATGTCTAGTCGTCTCGTACACATCGTCGTTCGCCTGTATTCGCATTTTGCATGGCAATGCACCGAGATTCTGCAGGGCTCGGTGCCCAGCCTGCTGTATGCACTCAAAACCACCCTGGGGACCCTCCATGTCTTGATTCCCAGACAGGGTGAACGTGAACCCTGCAGATCCATGATTTGACTGGGACGATGGAAATGATAATTGCTGGAACACGAAAAATTTTATTCCATTAATTCCTCAATTATTATTCAATAATTTACAGGTTCAAAGAAAAATGAGAGAATTATTTCCACATGTCGGAATTAGCCTCGGGCCAGTCTGAAAGGTTGATAACTGTCTAACGGGTTCGTGGGATGGCTGAAAAGTCAAGAACCAGTGGCTTCTTTGACACGTGCTGATGGTTATTCGTTACATGAATTTTTGTGGGTATTGGTAAAAATCAAAGAGTTACTGAGACGTGGAGGAAATATTAATCGCGGGGGAATTCGTTGTCAGTTTCAAATGATCGAATTAAATTCACTTCGTGAGAGGCTACATCGACCTCGACATGAATTTCGCGAGGTCGCATCACACGAGGTTTTCATTATGATTAAAAAAATATACTCTCGCATTTTCAACCTGTGGAAAACAAAAATATCCACTAACGAAAGCCATTTATTTTTTCATTCAACTAATTTGCAATGGTTCAAGGTTTTGTTATTATTAGTTGCTTCATGCGAATGGAATGTTTTCCGAGTTCTCTGTATTATTGAACAACAAAAGTCACAGTGATTATTATCATTATATTGCGCAGATAATGCACGATTAATCAACCAAGAAAATCAATCGAATTTTCGTAACTAAAATGGATGCAATGAAGCAAAGACACTTTCGAAATGTGAATTGCATAATTTTTAGATGTAAATTTTTTACTCGGTATGTCGAGTGAAACTGTAGTGAAGTTGGAGAAGGGAAACGAGAGACCGATGGTGATGACCTTTAGATATCGAATAATCTCATCCGAATCGAATTCATTCGACAGAGACAAATTGAAAAAAAAAAACAAAAAAAGAAACAACAAATTGCCCTTTATCGCTATTTTTTGTTTCCAATGCCAACAAAAATACTCAATACTGCATACGACGGCTTGTCAATTTATTAATTGCCCCTGCTTATTGCAATAATATCATTAATTGCGGACTGCGAATGAGAATTACGAAAATTATTATTTCCTGACACTGGGAAAACCCTCGAGCACCTACGAGTTTCCCCGCACGTACTACTTCGGACCTGACTTGCACAAATTCTCGGTCACTGGTCAATCATTCAGCCCATGAAACCCGTAGGTAGAAGTGTGAATCATTCACCAGGATTGTGATTACGATGAATTTACCGGGGTCTGAATAGAATTTACACCGTCGTCGTGGGATTTTTACAATTATCAAATTCGCTGTCGGGGCACCACCGCATCAACGTCATCAGCATCATTGATAATTCAATAAAATATTAATTAAAGGGCCTTAAAGTTATTTAGATACGCAGTCTCAGAGGTGGAAAGCCATGCCTATTAATTTATTATTCGTAGGAGAAGGGAAAAATTAAAAAATGAAACGGGATGTATTGGAATGTTTTGGTATCGACTCAGATTCTATTGCATAACAATAATCTTTGGCATTATGTTGAGCTCGATATGAAATGCTCGACCTTTTCCAGGTTCTGGTCTTTTCATAACTTCTTGGATGAAGAAAGGCGTTACGTAAACGGTGCATCAGTCTTGGGCAAAGAATCACCGTTTGAGCTCTCATTTTTTTTTTTTCTTCCTGTGAAAAGCTTTAGCATTGAGAACTCATTGCTTATGGACTAGTCTGGTTGATTCCGTATGTAACGTTTCTTGAACACGATTTCGTGATGACACAAAACGATAGTGTGTTAGTAGGTTGCCGATTCCAATTGCTACGGAGATGGCGCTCGTCAGTATTTACTGCTACGGCCCAAATTTGGAGATCTAACGAGGTCGAGATGAAAGAAACTCCTCTCGTCATTGATCATTCGAGTAATGAGATTACTCCATGCACATCCATTCATTTATCATCGAATTATCGAAGGAGTTATCGATCCTGCGAGAAAATCCATTCGTCGCGCATTCGATCGTTTCATAAAAAAATCTTTTTCTCGATTCAATAATTTTCGGTGGATAATTATGAAGTAATTATAAATAATTTGTATATTCATTGAGAAGGGTATTTATGGGGGAAAATCTGTAATTTCTTTCAACTCTTGACGAAAGGTAATGAGTCATTTAATTGGAATCTTCAGTGATTCATTTTTATTTTGAATTCAATAATTTTTCTCAGTCATGCACGGCGCAAAATGGGCTTGGCGGAATTTTTTAAACATTAACCTGTTTCTTTTTTGGTATTTCCGTACGAGATTCTGTCGTTTCACTTTCTCATGCGCTTTCACTCGTATTGTCCTTTGATGTCATTGCGTTAACAATTAGAAGTCCGAAGTACTCCTGTGATCTAATTGGAGGATTACTGCATCGAGCAATAACGAGACTTAAGCCGGAATTTAATTCAAGAAAGCTAGAAATTTTCTTGATGCAGGAGAATCTAATTTAACGACTGAAATTTACGTTCATTTTATTGCCGAATTAAAAAATTAAATGCCCAAAGCAAATGACTAGAATCTTTTCCAAATTCCTGTGAAATTCACACATAAACAGGAAAACGGAGAAAACAAGGGAAAATTTCCACTTTTCTACTGCTGCACTGGATTTTTATCGAGAATTTCTCTCTGCGTATGCAGCGCGCATTTTTTTTCCGTGTACACTCCGAGATAATAATTAAAATATTGTTTGACTGTATCAAATACGCGGGTCGTCTGTTTGCGAATTTATTTTGATCTCTCCTTGGAAAAATCAGGAATGAGAATCGCAAGAATATTGAGATAACACGATTCATCGAGATCAAAGTTCAATATAAATTGTCTATGAGATTCATCACTTCGAGTGATTACTTGATTAAATTGAACAAGGAAATAATCGTGATGAGAAAAAGACGGGCGATTGCAATCCGAAGAAATCAATTAATTCCGTGGCATTCATCAAGACGTGAAATCCCCAACTCGATTCTACCGTTGACTAATCAATGACATTCAGAAATCATTGGTGTTTATATATTCGTGTAATGGTCAGACTGTTTTCATGAATAAAGATTGATAAGAATAAATAAATAAAGATAGGGTGAAGTCAACTGTGTCCCCTGGTTGGAAATACATGATCTTTCTGCATTTATCGCATTGAAAACATTTTATTTATTCTTATTTTCCTCATTCTCTTTGATTCCCATTTTAAAAACCCGATTCCCAATGGCGAACGTGAACTGTTCCGTTATTTTTATTGAATACTGAATATTATTACTGAACGGGTCGCGTTGTCACGGATGTTTATTCTTCAGCATAAATTTATTTCTTCGTTATTATTATTATTGTCCATATTTTGGGACGCAATAGTAGTTGACCCCCAAATAATGACTGGCTCAACGGTTTTTTTTATCTTAATCAATCAAGAGTGAGTGACGGCCCTCGAAAAAAAATTGACATGTCAAATAAAGATGAATCGTTTTATATCTTGAATTTTTCAATCCCCAAAAAAGAGGTGACAAACAAGAATTGCGACAATGAGAAACACCGAGCATGCGCGTTAAATCCTCTTAACCCCCCCTTTCCACCCACTCCCAAGTCCTCCCACCCCCTGTCCCCTGTCATACGCAGTAGAATTATATAACATCTGTTGTAACATAACAAAGACACGAGCAACAAAATAATCATTCAATACAAAGAATTCAGTGGCAGGCTCACGATTGAAATATTCGCACCTCAAGATAAAGACTGGAGAATTAAAAGAAATAATTAATTTATTAAATCGATGAACAATAATTTGAAGGTGTTCGAGTCTGCGGAGGAATTCAAAATAATTCAAAATAATTCAAAAGAATTCAAAAGAATTCAGAAAACATCAAAAGAATTCCGAAGAATTCAAGAGAATTATCAAACAATTCCTACTGATTAATAATCTCCCCTCCCCACTGACCTACGTCAGTAATTCCTGATAACGCTGTAAATTCGATTTAATCACCGATAAAAAAAAATCGGAATGCTTCATAAATCGAAGAATCACCTTGAGAAATCCGCCACCCCTCCCTCAAGCTCTCCGAATGCGGATTCCTCTCACTTCTCCAATGCCATCAGCAGGAGAAATTCTCCAATCGTCAACGAATTCAATCGATCTCGTAATTTTTTTTTCGATTCGAACCCTTGGTCACCTGAATTCAATCGGTTCGACATAACTTCACCGGAAATCCGGCAGACGAATAATCAATTGAATCCCTCCGATAAATCAACGGATCCAATCCCTCGCTTTCGAATTTTCCATCTGCGATGGCAATGAGCTTTTTTTTTCTCCTGGATGATGATTTTTCTTCTGATGATCCGGCGAACGTTGGAGCCAATCGAGATCGAATGGCTGATGCTCGGTTGGAGAACGGGACTTATATACCCCTTAGAAGCTTGAAATCACGTGATGGAGCAGTGGGACAGTTTTACCCCTTCCAATGATTATTTGAAATGGTGAAGTGTTGGGATATCGGATTTGCTCGGATCTTTTGGCATCTGCGCATGCGTTTGACGGAGCTAAAAAGGAGGAGATGCGGCGGGAGGGGCGATGGAAGGGGAAAAGAGGAGGAGAAGGAGGAGGAGATGGAGGAGAAGGAGGAGGAGGAGAAGGAGGAGGAGGAG